CTCCTCCTCATAGCTGTACTCCGATCCTGGGCAGTCTTCCCTTAGCTCCTCTTCAGAACCCTCCACGTCGGCAGAGCCTTGTGACGAATGCTCATCTGAGTACTCGTCGTACTCGTCCCCCTCCTCATCCTCTTCACGGGCAGTGACTTCTTCGCCCCTGTCATCCGATCCAGACTCGTCTGAGCACTCCTCCTCATCCGCTGCCACGCGGTCTGATGCATCGACCTTTACATCTTCCTCCTCCTCATAGCTGTCCGATCTGGAGTATTCGTCGCATGCGTCGTCACATGCAGGACTTGGCTTCGCCTCCCTACCCTCTGCATCGGAAGACTTCTCCACTGAGCCCTGTGACGAGTACTCACCTGAGTACTCGTCGTACTCACCTGAGTACTCGTCGTACTCGTCCTGGGCACTGTCTTCTTCGCGCCTCTCTCCAGATGTTCCATCCGAGGCCTCTGCTGGAGCATCTGCAGACGTGGAGCAGAAGTTGTCTGCGGCGTCTTCGACCTTTTCAACATCTTTTTATGGTCGAGGTTCTCTTCTTGGCTTGGCAGGTGCTATGTGGCAGTTTACGATGTTAGGGGTAGGGAACCCGACAATTTTGGGGGTCTGTTTTAAGGGTCCCCTACTTGCGTAGCATGCGCCGGGCAAGCGTGTTCACGGCTTCTGACAGTGCAAATCTCAACCGTTCTTCTGCGCAAGAGATGGAGTTGCAAAATGCAACCTTGCTTCTATTTGCCCGGCCTCAGGCGGAGATTCTGCGAGCGGACGCAAGTTCTCGGACGCGCCCTCGGCGTCCTCAACATCATTGCAGCTAGCTTCTGCTCACAGGATGCTGTAGCAGTTTGCAGGTTCGAGGTGCAGCATTAGGGGAGCTCCCTCCTCCCCCTCCCCCTCTCCCCAGTGCCGCGAGGCCTCTGCTGAAGCATCTGCAGATGTGGGGCAGTGCTCTGCGACGTCTTCTGCCTATTCAGGACCGAGGTTTTCCGGGATTCCTGACTTAGGGCCTTAAAAGGTACTGTGGTCAGGCGCATGCTCAGGACTTCTCAAGGTGCAAATCTTAGCTCGTAGCTTCAGGACAAAAGGTGTTACCCTTCCAATTGCCCAGTGACGTCACCATCCTCCTCCCAAACACCCGAGCCGGACTGATCGGCCTCGGCCGCATCATCGGCGGATCCATCTTCGGCTTCGGGGACGTTCTCTCCAGCATCACTGTCGACACAGGCAGCCTCCTCAGCATCGGCTGCCTCGTCGACCGCCTTGCCCTGCTTCGCACCGCCTGGAGTGTCGCCCTCTGGGTCAGCATCCTCGGCCTCATGAAGCGGGATCTGACTGTCATCCTTCAAAGCACCCGACTCGGACTGATCGGCCCCGGCCGCATCATCGGCATCGGCAGCTTCATCTTCGGCTTCAGGGACATGCTCTCCAGCGTCACCGTCGACACAGGCAGCCTCTCCAACATCGGCTGCCTCGTCAACTGCTTTGTCCTGCTTTGAACCACCGGCAGTGTCATTCTCTAGCTCATGAATCGCGATCTCACTGTCATCTGCGTTGTTCTGTCGGCCCTCGGCCGAACCAACCTCCTCCTGCGCACCATCGCACTCTTTGTTGTGCCGGGAACCAGCCTTGCCTGCATCAGGAGGCCCATCGGCCCCAGATGCATCGTCTTCCTCCTCCTCGTAGCTGTACTCCGATCCTGGGCAGTCTTCCCTTAGCTCCTCTTCAGAACCCTCCACGTCGGCAGAGCCTTGTGACGAATGCTCATCTGAGTACTCGTCGCACTCGTCCCCCTCCTCATCCTCTTCACGGGCAGTGACTTCTTCGCCCCTGTCATCCGATCCTGACTCGTCTGAGCACTCCTCCTCATCCGCTGCCGCGCGGTCTGATGCATCGACCTTCACATCTTCCTCCTCCTCATAGCTGTCCGATCTGGAGTACTCGTCGCATGCGTCGTCACATGCAGGACTTGGCTTCGCCTCCCTACCCTCTGCATCGGAAGACTTCTCCACTGAGCCCTGTGACGAGTACTCACCTGAGTACTCGTCGTACTCGTCCTGGGCACTGTCTTCTTCGCCCCTCGATCCAGACGGTCCGTCCGAGGCCTCTGCTGGAGCATCTGCAGACGTGGAGCAGAGGTTGTCTGCGGCGTCTTCGACCTTTGCAACATCTTTTTGTGGTCGAGGTTCTCTACAACTCTTGGCTTGGCATGTGCTATGTGGCAGTTTACGATGTTAGGGGTACTTTTTGGGGTCCTTATTTTCATGAGGGAATCCGACTCTTTGGGTGTCTATTTTAGGGGTCCCCTAATTGCGTAGCATGCGCAGGGCAAGCGTGTTCAGGGCTTCTGACGGTGCAAATCTTAGTACTTCTTCTGCGCAGGAGATGGAGTTGCAAAATGCAACCTTCCTTCTACTTGCCCGGCCTCATGCGGAGATTCTGCGAGCGGACGCAAGTTCTCGGACGTGCCCTCGGCGTCCTCAACATCATTGCAGCTAGCTTCTGCTCACAGGATGCTGTAGCAGTTTGCAGGTTCGAGATGCAGCATTAGGGGAGCTCCCTCCTCCCCCCCCTCTCCCCAGTGCCGCAAGGCCTCCGCTGAAGCATCTGCAGATGTGGGGCAGTGCTCTGCGGCGTCTTCTGCCTTTTCAGGACCGAGGTTTTCCGGGATTCCTGACTTAGGGCCTTAGGGGGTACTGTGGTCAGGCGCATGCTCAGGACTTCTCAAGGTGCCAAATCTTAGCTCGTAGCTTCAGGACAAAAGGTACTACCCTTCCAATTGCCCAGTGACGTCACAATCCTCCTACCAAACACCCGAGCCGGACTGATCGGCCTCGGCTGCATCATCGGCGGATCCATCTTCGGCTTCAGGGACCTTCTCTCCAGCATCACCGTCGACACAGGCAGCCTCCCCAGCATCGGCTGCCTCGTCGACCGCCTTGCCCTGCTTCACACCGCCTGGAGTGTCGCCCTCTGGGTCAGCATCCTCGGCCTCATGAAGCGGGATCTGACTGTCATCCTTCAAAGCACCCGACTCGGACTGATCGGCCCCGGCCGCATCATCGGCATCGGCAGCTTCATCTTCGGCTTCAGGGACATGCTCTCCAGCGTCACCGTCGACACAGGCAGCCTCTCCAACATCGGCTGCCTCGTCAACTGCTTTGTCCTGCTTTGAACCACCGGCAGTGTCATTCTCTAGCTCATGAATCGCGATCTCACTGTCATCTGCGTTGTTCTGTCGGCCCTCGGCCGAACCAACCTCCTCCTGCGCACCATCGCACTCTTTGTTGTGCCGGGAACCAGCCTTGCCTGCATCAGGAGGCCCATCGGCCTCAGATACATCGTCTTCCTCCTCCTCATAGCTGTACTCCGATCCTGGGCAGTCTTCCCTTGGCTCCTCTTCAGAACCCTCCACGTCGGCAGAGCCTGTTGACGAATGCTCATCTGAGTACTCGTCGTACTCGTCCCCCTCCTCATCCTCTTCACGGGCAGTGACTTCTTCGCCCCTGTCATCCGATCCAGACTCGTCTGAGCACTCCTCCTCATCCGCTGCCACGCGGTCTGATGCATCGACCTTTACATCTTCCTCCTCCTCATAGCTGTCCGATCTGGAGTATTCGTCGCATGCGTCGTCACATGCAGGACTTGGCTTCGCCTCCCTACTCTCTGCATCGGAAGACTTCTCCACTGAGCCCTGTGACGAGTACTCACCTGAGTACTCGTCGTACTCACCTGAGTACTCGTCGTACTCGTCCTGGGCACTGTCTTCTTCGCGCCTCTCTCCAGATGTTCCATCCGAGGCCTCTGCTGGAGCATCTGCAGACGTGGAGCAGAAGTTGTCTGCGGCGTCTTCGACCTTTTCAACATCTTTTTATGGTCGAGGTTCTCTTCTTGGCTTGGCAGGTGCTATGTGGCAGTTTACGATGTTAGGGGTAGGGAACCCGACAATTTTGGGGGTCTGTTTTAAGGGTCCCCTACTTGCGTAGCATGCGCCGGGCAAGCGTGTTCACGGCTTCTGACAGTGCAAATCTCAACCGTTCTTCTGCGCAGGAGATGGAGTTGCAAAATGCAACCTTCCTTCTACTTGCCCGGCCTCATGCGGAGACTCTGCTAGCGGACGCAAGTTCTCGGACGCGCCCTCGGCGTCCTCAACATCATTGCAGCTAGCTTCTGCTCACAGGATGCTTTTGCAGTTTGCAGGTTCGAGGTGCAGCATTAGGGGAGCTGCCTCTCCTCCACCCTCCCCTTCTCACCCAGTGCCGTGAGGCCTTCGCTGGAGCATTTGCAGATGTGGGGCAGAAGTGCTCTGCGGCGTCTTCTGCCTTTTCATGACCGAGGTTCTCCGGGTTAGGGGCTGCTGTGGTCAGGAGCATGCTCAGGACTTCTGAAGGTGCAAATCTTCGCTCGTAGCTTCTGGACAAAAGGTGTCACCCTTCCAATTGCCCAGCCTCAGCTGGAGTTTCTTCGGAGAGAGGCCGTAAGTTCTCGGGCAGGCCCTCGGCGTCCTGCATAGCTTGTTTTGCTGTAGGGTTTAGAGTTCAGGCATGCGATTTCAGGTTCTGCGCTGAGGTTCTCGGCGCCTCCTGCTTGGGGTCACCATGGATGCCTTCACGGCGCTTCTCGAGGGTCTGCGCCTGCGGTAGTAGGTTTAGGCTTCTATAGGGCTTCCGAAAAATGAGGGTGGACTTTTTTGTAGGGGGTGGGGGAGGGGGGGGGGGGGTCCTGCAAGAAGGCGCTGAAGCTATCTTCGGACAAACCCCACTTGGGAAAGTACCGAATCGACGGCTTGCAAGGAGCCTGGGGATGTCTCCGGTCCGTGATCCAACTAAACCTCGAACCCTAAGCCCTAAACTACTGTTTGCTTAAGAACACCCCCAAGAAATAAATATATTCCTAATAAGTGCAATTTAGGGATTATTGCTTTGATTTTTTTGAGGGCTCTTAAGCCAATAGTAGTAAACCCATGAAAGATGTGGGATGCAACAGTGATGCAATTATAGGGCCTGTTGCACCACAGACTGTAGAACCAGATGCGTCGAGCTGGGGTCGGAAGGCGCATCATCTGAGGCCTTGCGCCAACATTGTGTGAATGCGTCTCCCATGTATCACAGTTCTGGGAAAACAGCTCGCTCTCGTCGCGCACTCTGGATGTTTTTGACAGAACCCACGTGCAGAGGGTCTATGGGCCTCAGGTGCAGCATCCTCTGTGGCCAGCGCCTGCCAATCGGAAAGGGCAATGCGCACCAGGATCTTGTGTTTAGGGCTGATTCTGGCGGTGAACTCCGACTGGCCTACAGCATTCGATTGAAGTCCCAAGCGAACACTCAACTGCTCACACACACACACACACACACACACACACACCAAAAAAAAACCCTCCAAACGCCGAAGCCGAAGCCATGAGCTCTTGATCTCCTCAAGCCCCGGCCGTACAACAGCACCAGGAACAATGTCAGATACTAATGCCCTAAACCTTAAACCCTGAACCCTAAACCCTCACTGCGTTGGATCTTGCATTGCCCTCTCGCCTCCGCCATGACAAGGGTCGCGCATTTGTTGGTTTCCGCAGCCTCTATGGCGTCGGAAGGCACATCATCTGAGGCCTCGCCGAGGGCTTGAGTGTTAAGGGCTTGGGCCTCTCTTTTAACAATCGATTACAATCGAGAAAAAACAGGTTCGAAAGGCGTTCGTGTCATGGGAAGAACGCCATGTGAACTACGACACAGTCTGATAGTGCGATCAAAACTACTGACTACCCAGCAACCTCTGATTTCAGGCAGGCTTAAGACAAACAGGCCACTCCTCTATTGACTCTCTATTCAGGGCGGGCAGGACCCACTATGGCAAAAGACACATAGGTGTCTTCGTGGTCGCGGCATTTCGGCACTCAGCAGCACATGACGACACAGACTGCCAAGAGTCCTTAATCCTGACAATGAGTTAAGAAGCCGTGGGCCTCAGGTCCAGCATCCTCTGTGGCCAGCGCCTGTCGATCGGAAAGCGCAATGGCTTTAGTTTAGCGCTAATTCCAGTGGCTACTTGGTTTTGACTGGAGCCGGGGATTGGCTACATGACTCGCCAAGGTTTCAGGGACGTCCTTTCTGGCATCACTGTCGACACAGGCAGCCCCCCCAGCATCGGCTGCCTCATCAGCTGCCTTGTCCTCCCGTGAGCCACTTTCGCGCAGCGTGACGTCACCATCCTCCTCCCAAACACCCGAGCCGGACTCGTCGGCCTCGGACGCATCATCGGCGGATTCAGGGACGTTCTCCCCAGCATCACTGTCGACACAGGCAGCCTCCCCAGCATCGGCCGCCTCGTCGACCGCCTTGCCCTGCTTTGCACCGCCTGGAGTGTCGCCCTCTGGGTCAGCATACTCGGCCTCGTGAAGCGGCTGACTGTCATCCTTCACAGTACCCGACCCAGACTCCGCATCATCGGTGGCTTCATTTTTGGCTTCAGGGACATGCTCTCCAGCGTCACCGTCGACACAGGCAGCCTCTCCAGCATCGGCTGCCTCATCAACTGCTTTGTCCTGCTTTGAACCACCGGCAGTGTCGTTCTCTGGCTCATGAACCGCGATCTCACTGTCATCAGCGTTGTTCTGTCGCCCCTCGGCCGAACCACCCTCCTGCGCACCATCGCACTCTTTGTTGTGCAGGGGAACAGCTTTGCCCGCATCAGGAGGCACATCGGCCTCAGATACATCGTCCTCCTCCTCCTCCACGTCGGCAGAGCCTTGTGATGAATACTCCTCTGAGGACTCGTCGTACTCGTCCCCCTCCTCATCCTCTTCAGGGGCCGTGAAGTACTCCTCCTCATCCTCAGCTGCGCGGTCTGACGCATCGACCTTTACATCTTCCTCCTCCTCCTCCTCCTCCTCCTCCTCCTCCTCCTCCTCATAGCTGTGCCCCTCCGATCCGCAATACTCGTCGCATGCGTCGTCACTTGCACGACTTGGCTTCGCCTCCCTACCCTCTGCATCGGCATACTTCTCCACTGAGCCCTGTGACAAGTACTCACCTGAGTACTTGTCGTACTCGGCCTGGGCACTGTCTTCTTCGCCCCTGTCATCCGATCCAGACGGTCCATCCGAGGCCTGTGCTGGAGCATCTGCAGACGTGGCGCAGAGGTTGTCTGCGGCGTCTTCGACCTTTTCAACATCTTTTCGTGGTCGAGGTTCTCTAGAACTCTTGGCTTGGCAGGTACTGTAAGTAGGGGTACGATTTTGGGGTCCTCATTGTAAGGGAATCCGACTATTCGGGGGTCTGTTTTAGGGTCCCCTACTTGCGTAGCATAAGCGTGTTCTGGGCTTCTGACGGTGCAAATCTTAGTACTTCTTCTGCGCAGGAGATGGAGTTGCAAAATGCAACCTTCCTTCTACTTGCCCGGCCTCATGCGGAGACTCTGCGAGCGGACGCAAGTTCTCGGACGCGCCCTCGGCGTCCTCAACATCATTTCTGCTCGCAGGATGCTTTTGCAGTTTGCAGGTTCGAGGTGCAGCATTAGGGGAGCTCCCTCCACCCTCCCCTTCTCACCTTCGCTGGAGCATCTGCAGATGTGGGGCAGTGCTCCGCGGCGTCTTCTGCCTTTTCATGACCGAGGTTCTCCGAGTTAGGGGGTGCTGTGGTCAGGAGCATGCTCAGGACTTCTGAAGGTGCAAATCTTCGCTCGTAGCTTCTGGACAAAAGGTGTCACCCTTCCAACTGCCCAGCCTCAGCTGGAGTTTCTTCGGAGAGAGGCCGTAAGTTCTCGGGCAGGCCCTCGGCGTCCTGCACATGTTGCATTTTGCTGTGGGGTTTAGAGTTAAGGCATGCGATTTCAGGTTCTGCGCTGAGGTTCTCGGCGCCTCCTGCTTGGGGTCACCATGGATGCCTTCACGGCGCTTCTCGAGGGTCTGCGCCTGCGGTAGTAGGTTTAGGCTTCTATGGGGGCTTCCGAAAAAAAGAGGGAATGAGGGTTGCACTTTTTTGTAGGGGGTGGGGGAAGGGGGTGGGTTCCTGCAACGAGGCTTTTGTTTCAATCTTCGGACAAACCCCACTTGGGAAGGTACCGAACCGACGGCTTGCAAGGAGCCTGGGGATGTCTCCGGTCCGTGATCCAACTAAAAACCCCCAAAGAATTGTACCCATAACCCGAAAATGCCCCAAGTACAGGAATGCTTGGTCATGGATATCACCATGCCGGATCTCTGCCTGCATGACTGACGCAGAGCCACAGGGTGCTTGTTTTGTAGTGACACTGGGCTACGCCTGTTGAACCGTACAGAGAAGCTGCGGGCCTCAGGTTCAGCATCCTCTGCGGCCATCGCCTGTCGATCGGAAAGGGCAACGTGCAGCACGACCTGTTTTAGCGTAAATTCGGGCGGCTGCTTGGTTTCGACTGTAGCCGGGGTCTGGCCGACATGACTCGCCATGGTCTGCCTTTTGCACCGGAACCAGACGGACCGAGCTGGCGTCGGAAGGCACATCATCTGAGGCCTCGCCGAGGGCTTGAGTGTTCAGTGCTTGGGCCTCTAATCGAGAAAAAGGGTTCGAAAGGCGTTCGTGTCATGGGAAGAACGCCGCGTGAACTGCGACACAGTCCGGTAGTGCGATCGGGACTACTGACAATGAGTTGCACCCCGGTCAACCGTGCAAAGAAGGCGTGGGCCTCAGGTCCCTCCTCTGTGGCCAGCACCTGTCGATTGGAAAGCGCAATGTGCTTTTGTTCAGCGTTACTTCCAGTGGCTACTTGGTTTGGACCGGAGCCGGGGATTGGCCGACATGACTCACCAAGGTTTCAGGGACGGTTCCCCAGCCTCGTCTGCCTCATCAACTGTTTTGTCCTCCTTTGAGCCGCGCAGCGTGACGTCACCATCCTCCTCCCCAACATCCGAGCCGGACTCATCGGCCTCGGCCGCATCATCGGCGGCTTCATCTTCGGCTTCAGGGACATGCTCTCCAGCGCCACCGTCGACACAGGCAGCCGCTCCAGCATCGGCTGCCTCGTCGACCGCCTTGCCCTGCTTCGCACCGCCTGGAGTGTCGCCCTCTGGGTCAGCATCCTCGGCCTCATGAAGCGGGATCTGACTGTCATCCTTCAAAGCACCCGACTCGGACTGATCGGCCCCGGCCGCATCATCGGCGGCTTCATCTTCGGCTTCAGGGACATGCTCAACAGCATCACCGTCGACATAGGCAGCCTCTCCAGCATCGGCTGCCTCATCAACTGCTTTGTCCTGCTTTGAACCACCGGCAGTGTCGTTCTCTAGCTCATGAATCGCGATCTCACTGTCATCAGCGTTGTTCTGTCGGCCCTCGGCCGAACCAACCTCCTGCGCACCATCGCACTCTTTGTTGTGCAGGGAACCAGCTTTGCCCGCATCAGGAGGCACATCGGCCTGAGATACATCGTCTTCCTCCTCCTCCTCCTCATCCTCCTCCTCATAGCTGTACTCCGACCCTGAGCAGTCTTCCCTTAGCTCCTCTTCAGAACCCTCCACGTCGGCAGAGCCTTGTGACGAATACTCATCTGAGTACTCGTCGTACTCGTCCCCCTCCTCATCCTCGTCAGGGGCCGTGACTTCTTCGCCCCTGTCATCCGATCCAGACTCGTGTGGGTACTCCTCCTCATCCTCTGCTGCTCGGTCTGACGCATCGACCTTTACATCTTCCTCCTCCTCCTCCTCCTCATAGCTGTGCCCCTCCGATCCGCAATACTCGTCGCATGCGTCGTCACTTGCACGACTTGGCTTCGCCTCCCTACCCTCTACATCGGCATACTTCTCCACTGAGCCCTGTGACGAGTACTCATCTGAGGCCTCTGCTGGAGCATCTGCAGATGTGGGGCAGAGGTTGTCTGCGGCGTCTTCGACCTTTTCAACTTCGTTTTGTAGTCGAGGTTCTCTAGAACTCTGCGCTTGGCAGGTACTATATGGCGGTCTACGATATTAGGGGTAGAGAGAACTCGACTATTTGGGGGTCTATTTTGGGGGTCTCCTACTTGCGTAGCATGCGCAAGGCAAGCGTGCTCAGGGCTTCTGACGGTGCAAATCTGAGCACTCCTTCTGCGAAAGAGATGGAGTTGCAAAATGCAACCTTCCTTCTAATTGCCCTGCCTCAGGCGCAGATTCTGCGAGCGGACGCAAGTTCTCGGACGTGCCGCCCTCGGCGTCCTCAACATCATTACATGTAGCTTCTGCCTCTCCTCCACCTCCCCTTCTCCCCCGGTGCCGTGAGGCCTCCGCTGGAAGATCTGCAGATGCAGGGTCGCGGTACTCTGCGGTGTCTTCGGCCTTTTCAAAGTTGTGTCGTGGTCGAGGTTCTCTAGAGAGTTTTCTACACAATGCAAGCGTCTTCAGGGCACCTGAAGGTGCAAATCTTAGTTCGCAGCTGCTGGGCAAGAAAGGGTATGGGTACACTCCCTTCATCTCCCTTCAATCGCCCAGCCTCAGCCGGAGTTTCTGCGGAGAGCGGACGGTTCTCGAGCGCGCCCCCGGCGTCCTCAACATCATTACTTGAAGCCTCTGCTCGCAGGATGCTGGCAGCTTCTGCGCAAATCCTGAACCATGTTTGGGCTCTCCATGGCTCTCCCCCGAAAAAAAGCCTGGTTTTCGGAGCGCTTTGCTTCTGCTTGATGCTTGGCCAGTGCTTGGCGCTTTCGCGAAGGACCCGCGTTCCATCCAACTCCCGATGTCCTCCAGATTCGCGCCGAACACGTCTTCGATCTCCCGGATGTCGCGCGCCTCCTCGTCCTGTCAGAACGAAACCTTGAACTTTGAACCGTTCCTGAACACATGCGATCACGCCCCAAAACTCCTACAACCCACTTAAAGACTCTAAATCCTCAAGCCTCAACTAAAAAAACTGCCGAAGCCCCTAGGACCGAAACCCCACAAGCTGGGAGGGCCTAGGGCCCTTTCGAAACCTAAACAAATCCTGACCCGCGCGGCTCATGGAAGACGTTTGGGGTTTCGAAAGTATGAGTACCCAACATCGCCCCCCCCAATTGCCCAGGGGCTCGACCGAGGTCAGTGGGCACTTTCGTGGCTTTGGCCGTCTTGGAGTTTTATGATGCTTCCTTATTTGTTCAGGGTTTAGGGCTTAGGGCTTAAATTGAATTACGGACGTTCTCCGCCTCGGCTGGGCCATGGGACTCGGCAACATCTTCACCGACCTCGGCATCACTTCGGCTTACACCAGCGAAGACTTCGAACAGTGTAGACCAGAACTTTAAGTCTTGAAACAACACTTCCAACATGAAGAGAGGCAAAGGGAGACGCAAGCCTTCTAGGGCCTTCCATGAAGGAAGACAAGGGGAGACAAGCACATCGACCAGTCGGACATTCTTAGAAGGAACTGGCAACCCCAACAGTCTGCCGTTTGCGGGAACCATCGGGTGAATCATCTAGGCTCCTGCGATAGGGTCTTGAAGATGGATCGCTTGGCACCCGGCTGGGAGAGAATGAATGGCATCCTTCGCAGACTGCTCATGGTTGGGTTTGTTGGCTCGTTCGCGAAACGTCAAGTCTCAAGTCTGGGGACTTGAGGGCACTGACAATTATGTCTGCAACTCCCAAACAAGTTGAATGCGGGTCCTCTTCGACTGCATCAGAGACTTCAATGGCTTCGGCGTCGCTCCGACACTCCTCCCCCACTTCCTCCTTCTCCTCTGCCTCCAAATGCTCGCCATCGCCCTCGTCCTCACGGGCCTCAACGCCCTCCCCAGCTTCAGCATCCTCGGCCTCATGAAGCGGGATCTGACTGTCATCCTTCAAAGCACCCGACCCGGACTGATCGGCCTCGGCCGCATCATCGGCGGCTTCATCTTCGGCTTTAGGGACATGCTCTCCAGCGTCACCGTCGACACAGGCAGCCTCTCCAGCATCGGCTGCCTCGTCGACCGCCTTGCCCTGCTTCGCACCGCCTGGAGTGTCGCCCTCTGGGTCAGCATCCTCGGCCTCATGAAGCGGGATCTGATTGTCATCCTTCAAACCACCCGACTCGGACTGATCGGCCCCGGCCGCATCATCGGCGGCTTCATTTTTGGCTTCAGGGACATGCTCTCCAGCGTCACCGTCGACACAGGCAGCCTCTCCAGCATCGGCTGCCTCATCAACTGCTTTGTCCTGCTTTGAACCAGCGGCAGTGTCGTTCTCTAGCTCATGAATCGCGATCTCACTGTCATCTGCATTGTTCTGTCGGCCCTCGGCCGAACCAACCTCCTGCGCACCATCGCACTCTTTGTTGTGCAGGGAACCAGCCTTGCCCGCATCAAGAGGCACATCGGCCTCAGATACATCGTCTTCCTCCTCCTCCTCCTCATCCTCCTCCTCATAGCTGTACTCCGACCCTGAGCAGTCTTCCCTTAGCTCCTCTTCAGAACCCTCCACGTCGGCAGAGCCTTGTGACGAATACTCATCTGAGTACTCGTCGTACTCGTCCCCCTCCTCATCCTCGTCAGGGGCCGTGACTTCTTCGCCCCTGTCATCCGATCCAGACTCGTGTGGGTACTCCTCCTCATCCTCTGCTGCTCGGTCTGACGCATCGACCTTTACATCTTCCTCCTCCTCCTCCTCCTCCTCCTCATAGCTGTGCCCCTCCGATCCGCAATACTCGTCGCATGCGTCGTCACTTGCACGACTTGGCTTCGCCTCCCTACCCTCTGCATCGGCATACTTCTCCACTGAGCCCTGTGACGAGTACTCATCTGAGGCCTCTGCTGGAGCATCTGCAGATGTGGGGCAGAGGTTGCCTGCGGCGTCTTCGACCTTTTCAACTTCGTTTTGTGGTCGAGGTTCTCTAGAACTCTGCGCTTTGCAGGTACTATATGGTGGTCTACCATATTAGGGGTAGAGAACTCGACTATTTGGGGGGTCTATTTTGGGGGTCCCCTACTTGCGTAGCATGCGCAAGGCAAGCGTGCTCAGGGCTTCTGACGGTGCAAATCTGAGCACTCCTTCTGCGAAAGAGATGGAGTTGCAAAATGCAACCTTCCTTCTAATTGCCCTGCCTCAGGCGGAGATTCTGCGAGCGGACGCAAGTTCTCGGACGTGCCGCCCTCGGCGTCCTCAACATCATTACATGTAGCTTCTGCCTCTCCTCCACCTCCCCTTCTCCCCCGGTGCCGTGAGGCCTCCGCTGGAAGATCTGCAGATGCAGGGCCGCGGTACTCTGCGGTGTCTTCGGCCTTTTCAAAGTTGTGTCGTGGTCGAGGTTCTCTAGAGAGTTTTCTACACAATGCAAGCGTCTTCAGGGCACCTGAAGGTGCAAATCTTAGTTCGCAGCTGCTGGGCAAGAAAGGGTACGGGTACACTCCCTTCATCTCCCTTCAATCGCCCAGCCTCAGCCGGAGTTTCTGCGGAGAGCGGACGGTTCTCGAGCGCGCCCTCGGCGTCCTCAACATCATTACTTGAAGCCTCTGCTCGCAGGATGCTGGCAGCTTCTGCGCAAATCCTGAACCATGTTTGGGCTCTCCATGGCTCTCCCCGAAAAAAAAGCCTGGTTTCGGAGCGCTTTGCTTCTGCTTGATGCTTGGCCAGTGCTTGGCGCTTTCGCGAAGGACCCGCGTTCCATCCAATTCCCGATGTCCTCCAGATTCGCGCCGAACACGTCTTCGATCTCCCGGATGTCGTGCGCCTCCTCGTCCTGTCAGAACGAAACCTTGAACTTTGAACGTTTCTGAACACGTGCGATCACGCCCCAAAACTCCTACAACCCACTGAAAGACTCTAAATCCTCAAGCCTCAACTTAAAACTGCCGAAGCCCTAGGACCTAGGACCGAAACCACACAAGCTGGGAGGGCCTAGGGCCCTTTCGAAACCTGAACAAATCCTGACCCGCGCGGTTCATGGAAGACGTTTGGGGTTTCGAAAGTATGAGTACCCAACATCGCCCCCCCAATTGCCCAGGGGCTCGACCGAGGTCAGTGGGCACTTTCGTGGCTTTGGCCGTCTTGGAGTTTTATGATGCTTCCTTATTTGTTCGGGGTTTAGGGCTTAGGGTTTAAATTGAATATCGGACGTTCTCCGCCTCAGCTGGGCCATGGGACTCGTCAACATCTTCACCGACCTCGGCATCACTTCGGCTTACACCAGGCTGCTGTGATAGGGTCTTGAAGATGGATCGCTTGGCACCCGGCTGGGAGAGCCTGAATGGCATCCTTCGCAGACTGCTCATGGTTGGGGTTTGTTGGCTCGTTCGCGAAACGTCAAGTCTCAAGTCTGGGGACTTGAGGGCACTGACAATTATGTCTGCAACTCCCAAACAAGTTGAATGCGGGTCCTCTTCGACTGCATCAGAGACTTCAATGGCTTCGGCGTCGCTCCGACACTCCTCCCCCACTTCCTCCTTCTCCTCTGCCTCCAAATGCTCGCCATCGCCCTCGTCCTCACGAGCCTCAACCCCCTCCCCAGCTTCAGCATCCTCGGCCTCATGAAGCGGGATCTGACTGTCATCCTTCAAAGCACCCGACCCGGACTGATCGGCCTCGGCCGCATCATCGGCGGCTTCATCTTCGGCTTCAGGGACATGCTCTCCAGCGTCACCGTCGACACCGGCAGCCTCTCCAGCATCGACCGCCTTGCTCTGCTTCGCACTGCCTGGAGTGTCGCCCTCTGGGTCGGCATCCTCGGCCTCATGAAGCGACCCGGACTGATCGGCCGCATCATCGGCGGCTTCATCTTCGGCTTCAGGGACATGCTCTGCAGCATCACCGTCGACACAGGCAGCGTCTCCAGCATCGGCTGCCTCGTCGACCGCCTTGCCCTGCTTCGCATCGCCTGGAGTGTCGCCCTCTGGGTCAGCATCCTCGGCCTCATGAAGCGGGATCTGACTGTGATCCTGCAAAGCACCCGACTCGGACTGATCGGCCCCGGCCGCATCATCGGCGGCTTCATCTTTGGCTTCAGGGACATGCTCTCCAGCATCACCGTCGACACAGGCAGCCTCCCCAGCATCGGCTGCCTCGTCGACCGCCTTGCCCTGCTTCGCACCGCCTGGAGTGTCGCCCTCTGGGTCAGCATCCTCGGCCTCACGAAGCAGGATCTGACTGTCATCCTGCAAAGCACCCGACCCGGACTGATCGGCCTCGGCCGCATCATCGGCTTCATCTTCGGCTTCAGGGACATGCTCAACAGCATCGCCATCGACACAGGCAGCCTCTCCAGCATCGGCTGCCTCGTCAACTGCTTTGCCCTGCTTTGAACCGCCGGCAGTGTCGTTCTCTAGCTCATGAATCGCGATCTCACTGTCATCTGCGTTGTTCTGTCGGCCCTCGGCCGAACCAACCTCCTGCGCACCATCGCACTCTTTGTTGTGCAGGGAACCAGCCTTGCCCGCATCAGGAGGCACGTCGGCCTCGGATACATCTTCTTCTTCCTCCTCCTCATAGCTGTACTCCGACCCTGAGCAGTCTTCGCTTAGCTCCTCTTCAGAACCCTCCACGTCGGCAGAGCCTTGTGACGAATACTCATCTGAGTACTCGTCGTACTCGTCCCCCTCCTCATCCTCTTCAGGGGCCGTGACTTCTTCGCCCCGGTCATCCGATCCGGACTCGTCTGAGTACTCCTCCTCATCCGCTGCTGCATGGACCTTTACATCTTCCTCCTCCTCCTCATGGCTGTACCCCTCCGATCCGGAGTACTCGTCGCATGCGTCGTCACATGCACGACGTGGCTTCGCCTCCCTACCCTCTGCATCTGAGCCCTGTGACGAGTACTCATCTGAGTACTCGTCGTACTCGTCCTGGGCACTGTCTTCTTCGCCCCTGTCATCCGATCCAGACTCTTCTGAGTACTCCTCCTCCTCTGCTGCTAGCCCCACATCAATGTCCACCTGGGCATCCTCTGTTGATTGCCTCTCCTCCAACCCTTCAGATCCAGTCCCCGCAGGGTCACAACGACCATCTTCGCTCGCGCTGGTTCGGGTCAAGGACCCGCTGAAGGCCGGTGAGCCCTCGGGGCTTCGACGTGCCTCTCCACAAGTCGAATCCTGATGGGTTGGCAAAAGCAACTTCTTCGAGTTTTCAGAACCCCAACAGCGATGATGATGATGCTGGCGCTCCTCGCAAAGCTGTTCAACCTTGTCCAGCCCAAATCCTTCGAAACAGGATCCTGGTATTTCTATTTTTGCTTTGCGCCGCGCCAGTACACTTCCGAGTGAAGCACGGTTCCTGGAAACGGGAACATCGTCGCACGACGCCATGAAGCTCTCTCACAGGCGAGTTCTCCTACGATTGTCACTCAGCTCCAGTACTTTTTGGCTGCCGGGCTGCTTCAGTAATCAAGTACTTCCTTCGTGTTTTAGTTTTGATTAATCAAACACATGAAAACAAGGAGTCTGACTACCATTCAGAACGTGCCGAAGTGTGTGAGAGGCTCTTTGAGCACAAAGAAAGCAAAATCCAGTGACAATCTGCAACAATGAGCAGCATCTGCGCAAGAGGTGCTTCCCACGATGCCCTCTTCTGGACCCTTTTGCATCGCGCGAAGCGTCGCCTGTCAGGTTTGCTCAGCTTCAAGCCAGAGGTTGGACAAAGCCGCTAATCGCAGTATCTTTGATACTACGTTTGGTTACTTTGATTTGTTTTTTTGCCGTGAGGCCGGGCTGCATTGCCGGCTTCTGTGCGTGCGTGCTCGGGGAAAACGGAAAACTTGCGTGCAGGGGTAAGCTCCGCCCGCTCTTGAATTCCAGTGGCCTCGAGGCTCACCTCTAAAATTAACATCTTGTTGGCCAAGATAAGCACCGCTTTATCCTGCAATATCCTACGTCTTACTTATATCATATCATGTCCACAGTCACAGTGTCATGCGTAGTGCGGCAGATTGGCCAGGCCTGCCTACAAAAGAATGCCAGGAGACGGTCGTCTCAACTGACAATTGTTGTGTCCAATGGTCCATGACCGTGTCAGCCTCGCTGGCTGAGCTCGATTCTTAAAGCCTTAAAGTAATTTCGTTCGGAGTCATCAGACTCGCCGTTCTCAAACATGTAGTACGCACGTTCCAGGACGCGCTTTTGCAAGCTGGGATTGAGACCCTGCTCATGGGCTCTTCTCGCCATCGCATCTGTGACCTGATCAAACTGTCAGGGAAAGTTCTGGCTCTCCGTTTGGCAAGCCCGTAACCCCACCCGCCCCACCCTCCACCTGCAACAGGAACCTTCGGTATGAATCCAGCAACTCGCAATGCTAACTTGAGAAGGGGGCAAGGTGGAGGGGGGAGGTGGGGGATTCAAGCAAGCCTGCTCCAAGCTTCATCCGAACATCTTACAAACCAAGTTTGAGCCAAGCCACCTCCACAGGCTTCGGGCTGTAGACTCGCCCTACGCCACCATCGCCCACAGGTGGCGTACTCCCGTTGCAGGAGCTTGGCACTGTACCGGTGGAGCCCGTTCGAGCAATGCGGCCTTGCTTGTTATGCTTGTTATGCTTGCTATGCTTGCTATGCTTTCCTTGCTTGCTGGGGGCTGGCGTGTCATCAGCCGCGGTGCTGTGCCTGCGATGCTTGTGTTGGATCTCACTCTGGTGGTGATGCCTTGCAGATCGGGGGGCATTCTGATTTGCCTGGGCTGCGCGCTTCATCGGCTCGGCATGTCTGTCCAGGTTGCCTTCGGAGGCAGCGCTGACTGCGCTGACTGCGAAGCTGGAGCTCGGCACTGGTGCTGGCTTAGCGTCTGCTGAGGTCTTGCTGGAAGCTGCCGAACCAGCAGGACCTGACTGCGGTGTTGGAAGCTGAGAAATCTCTGGGACTCTTCTGGCTGCCTTTGGTGCAGGCGGAGGCTGTGGGTCTGCTTGGCCTGCGCAAGGCCTGTCGCAGCCGGAGCTTTTGCTGGCCGACACGGATCGCGGGTTTGGGCTGATCTCCCGCTGCTCAACTATCTCAGAAAACCGAAGTGTCCTCATTGGCCTGGGCCGGTTGGCGTCCCTAAGAGCCGATGGCAGAGGAGATGGAGAAGGTCTTGGCGCGGGCGTTGTGGATACACTGCCGGCTGAAGCTGCTGCTCCACTTTTGCCCACTCTCACCTCTGTCGCCGGCTGAAAAGGCACTTGGAACGGGGGACTGTCCTCCAGAAGTGTCTGGTTGCTCCATGACACTTCGTGTTTCAGTGGTGGGTGGTCTTGGTTTTGCCTCACCTCCTGGCGTACATCGTGGGAGAGTATGCAGTTCCTCTGTCGACCATCAGCGTGCACGGGCATCGCCTCTGTGGGACCCATGCTTGCAATATCCCTACTGTTGCGTTGGGCGGGGGAGGGGGCGGGGACGGAAACTTCCAGATCTCTCGTTGAAAAGGCTTATGGAGTGGAGGGCTCTCTTGTAAGAGGCTTATGGCTACTGGCAACAGCAAAAATACTCAGACCATCTCGGGACAAGCTGACGAGTCTGCGTCTGGCCTCCACCTCCTGCTTTCTATGCACCTTCTTGGCTTCCGCCTTCTTCTGGGCTTCCTCCTGTCGTTTGGCCTCAGCCTCCACCTTCCTCTTCTCCGCCGCCTCTGCCCGCACCTTCTTGCCTTCCTCCTTCGACTCCATCTTTTCTTTTTTCACTAGATTGCCGACCTCGCCATGTTGCAGGCAGCGAGACAGCAAGTGGATATGGCTGGACGTGTGCTCAGCGAAATGATGCGACATGTGCCTGCGGACGTCCTGAGGGGTCACATTCGGACATTCACATGTTGCTTCATCCCGTCTGGCCTCCACCGCCTTCGGCTTCTCCTCCTCGGCGTTGCGCTTGGCAGCTTCGCCTGCTCGTGCCCTCTCGGGCTCCTCCTTTTGTGCGTACTCCTGTCGTTTGGCCTCAGCCTCTGCCTTATTCTGCCTCTTCTTCCCCCCTGACTCTGCATGCGCCTTCTGGGCGTCCTCCGTCTTCTTGGCGTCCACCTGCCGCTTTGCCTCAGCCTCCTCCTTCTTCTTCTTCTCCTGAGCTTGGCGCTTTGCCTCGACAATGACAATGAAACAGAAACGCTAGGGTGCAAGCTGCAAGACTCAATTCGCCTCGGCCTCCGGCCGAGAAGCGTCTGGAACAAGCAGACCAGGATCTGGTCCACTTCCCTTTCCCAACCCTTCCCACGAAATATCTCTCGACGCCACAGTGACGGTCGTGCAGAGGCGCTGCCGCCTTTCCTTGGACGCCCCCTGCCTTCGAAACCCCCATTCGAACGCGAGGCAAACCTTTTGGGACCCCTAGTCTCCCTGAAAACCACCCCAAACAGCCCCCCGAGAATGTGGCGGCTTGCCAGCCCGGCCGAGCGGCGCAAGTGGGCTCCTCCCACAGAGACCATGCCAACAAACCGAAAAGGACCGCTGCCCATGCTACAGCCCGCGTTGGGCCGGCCCGGATGCCGAGGCGGCGTGCGCGGAAGCGTTTGAAAGCATCTTAGATGCATGCTTTGGCAGTGTGCAGAGCTGTGGCTTGGATGGGTGGAACACAAGATGAAATCCAATCGCTACATGCAGCTTGCGTATTCACGTCAACACCCTGCCACCAAAATCCACTCAAGCGAGATACTGTCGCACCTCCTTCTTTTCTGGGGGTGACAAAAGCCCTTCAGGTGTTCTACGGCTCATCTTCTGATTCTCAACTACCTTTTCTTTTTTCACTAGATTGCCGACCTCGCCATGTTGCAGGCAGCGAGACAGCAAGTGGATATGGCTGGACGTGTGCTCAGCGAAATGATGCGACATGTGCCTGCGGACGTCCTGAGGGGTCACATTCGGACATTCACATGTTGCTTCATCCCGTCTGGCCTCCACCGCCTTCGGCTTCTCCTCCTCGGCGTTGCGCTTGGCAGCTTCCCCTGCTCGTGCCCTCTCGGGCTCCTCCTTTTGTGCGTCCTCCTGTCGTTTGGCCTCAGCCTCTGCCTTATTCTGCCTCTTCTTCCCCCCTGACTCTGCATGCGCCTTCTGGGCGTCCTCCGTCTTCTTGGCGTCCACCTGCCGCTTTGCCTCAGCCTCCTCCTTCTTCTTCTTCTCCTGAGCTTGGCGCTTTGCCTCGACAATGACAATGAAACAGAAACGCTACGGTGCAAGCTGCAAGACTCAATTCGCCTCGGCCTCCGGCCGAGAAGCGTCTGGAACAAGCAGACCAGGATCTGGTCCACTTCCCTTTCCCAACCCTTCCCACGAAATATCTCTCGACGCCACAGGTCGTGCAGAGAGGCGCTGCCGCCTTTCCTTGGACGCCCCCTGCCTTCGAAACCCCCATTCGAACGCGAGGCAAACCTTTTGGGACCCCTAGTCTCCCTGAAAACCACCCCAAACAGCCCCCGAGAATGTGGCGGCTTGCCAGCCGGCCGAGAGGCGCAAGTGCTCCCACAGAGACCATGCCAACAAACCGAAAAGGACCGCTGCCCATGCTACAGCCCGCGTTGGGCCGGCCCGGATGCCGAGGCGGCGTGCGCGGAAGCGTTTGCAATTCATCTTAGATGCATGCTTTGGCAGTGTGCAGAGCTGTGGCTTGGATGGGTGGAACACAAGATGAATTCCAATCGCTACATGCAGCTTGCGTATTCACGTCAACACCCTGCCACCAAAATCCACTCAAGCGAGATACTGTCGCACCTCCTTCTTTTCTGGGGGTGACAAAAGCCCTTCAGGTGTTCTACGGCTCATCTTCTGATTCTCAACTACCTTTTCTTTTTTCACTAGATTGCCGACCTCGCCATGTTGCAGGCAGCGAGACAGCAAGTGGATATGGCTGGACGTGTGCTCAGCGAAATGATGCGACATGTGCCTGCGGACGTCCTGAGGGGTCACATTCGGACATTCACATGTTGCTTCATCCCGTCTGGCCTCCACCGCCTTCGGCTTCTCCTCCTCGGCGTTGCGCTTGGCAGCTTCCCCTGCTCGTGCCCTCTCGGGCTCCTCCTTTTGTGCGTACTCCTGTCGTTTGGCCTCAGCCTCTGCCTTATTCTGCCTCTTCTTCCCCCCTGACTCTGCATGCGCCTTCTGGGCGTCCTCCGTCTTCTTGGCGTCCACCTGCCGCTTTGCCTCAGCCTCCTCCTTCTTCTTCTTCTCCTGAGCTTGGCGCTTTGCCTCGACAATGACAATGAAACAGAAACGCTAGGGTGCAAGCTGCAAGACTCAATTCGCCTCGGCCTCCGGCCGAGAAGCGTCTGGAACAAGCAGACCAGGATCTGGTCCACTTCCCTTTCCCAACCCTTCCCACGAAATATCTCTCGACGCCACAGTGACGGTCGTGCAGAGAGGCGCTGCCGCCTTTCCTTGGACGCCCCCTGCCTTCGAAACCCCCATTCGAACGCGAGGCAAACCTTTTGGGACCCCTAGTCTCCCTGAAAACCACCCCAAACAGCCCCCGAGAATGTGGCGGCTTGCCAGCCGGCCGAGAGGCGCAAGTGCTCCCACAGAGACCATGCCAACAAACCGAAAAGGACCGCTGCCCATGCTACAGCCCGCGTTGGGCCGGCCCGGATGCCGAGGCGGCGTGCGCGGAAGCGTTTGCAATTCATCTTAGATGCATGCTTTGGCAGTGTGCAGAGCTGTGGCTTGGATGGGTGGAACACAAGATGAATTCCAATCGCTACATGCAGCTTGCGTATTCACGTCAACACCCTGCCACCAAAATCCACCCAAGCGAGATACTGTCGCACCTCCTTCTTTTCTGGGGGTGACAAAAGCCCTTCAGGTGTTCTACGGCTCATCTTCTGATTCTCAACTACCTTTTCTTTTTTCACTAGATTGCCGACCTCGCCATGCTGCAGGCAGCGAGACAGCAAGTGGATATGGCTGGACGTGTGCTCAGCGAAATGATGCGACATGTGCCTGCGGACGTCCTGAGGGGTCACATTCGGACATTCACATGTTGCTTCATCCCGTCTGGCCTCCACCGCCTTCGGCTTCTCCTCCTCGGCGTTGCGCTTGGCAGCTTCCCCTGCTCGTGCCCTCTCGGGCTCCTCCTTTTGTGCGTACTCCTGTCGTTTGGCCTCAGCCTCTGCCTTATTCTGCCTCTTCTTCCCCCCTGACTCTGCATGCGCCTTCTGGGCGTCCTCCGTCTTCTTGGCGTCCACCTGCCGCTTTGCCTCAGCCTCCTCCTTCTTCTTCTTCTCCTGAGCTTGGCGCTTTGCCTCGACAATGACAATGAAACAGAAACGCTAGGGTGCAAGCTGCAAGACTCAATTCGCCTCGGCCTCCGGCCGAGAAGCGTCTGGAACAAGCAGACCAGGATCTGGTCCACTTCCCTTTCCCAACCCTTCCCACGAAATATCTCTCGACGCCACAGTAACGGTCGTGCAGAGAGGCGCTGCCGCCTCCCCTTGGACGCCCCCTGCCTTCGAAACACCCATTCGAACGACGCAAGTGGGCTCCGGCTCCTCCCACAGAGACCACGCCAGCAAACCGAAAAGGACCGCTGCCCATGCTACACCCCGCGTTGGGCCGGCCCGGATGCCGAGGCGGCGTGCGCGGAAGCGCTTACAATTCATCTTAGGTGCATGCTTCGGCAGTGTGCAGAGCTGTTGCTTGGATGGGTGGAACGCGAGATGGGTTCCGATCGCTACGTGTAGCTTGCATATGATTGTTTTGTCAGACATGAGTAGCATGAGTCCTTCCAACTCCCCACATTGCAATCGCAACATTGTAGCTTGCACAGTCACCTCCCTCATTTTTCGGGGAGGGGGGTGCGGGGGTGGAGATTGAGAGGATATAAAACCTTGAATTTTGGCTCGGCTTCCGCGGTCACCCCTCATCATACAGGCCCGCATGCCTTCTGACTTCTCTGATGAACACTTGTACTCCCTGCATGATAGCTACTCGTTGTAGTTCCTCCTCGTAAGTTCACAGTGCAACACAGTCCAAGCCCTAGTTCCCCGGCTCAGCTTTAAGAACGTTCGACTTTGTCAAGGGGGCAGTGCGTGTCATTACCGGACAGGTGCTCAGCGAATTCATGCTAAATCTGCACTGAAGGCACGCATTCGGGCATGAACACGTTGTTTCATCCGGTCTGGCCTCCGACGCCTTCTTCTCCGCCTCGGCCTTGCGCTTAGCAGCCTCGTACCCTGTTACAGTGGAGTTTTGCAAGTGCCACGCACTATGGAACCCTTCTTCACAAGGCAGGTGGCTGCCTGCGGCATCGCTAGCATCCGCCAGGCCACGCAAGCCAGGCTCAGCAAGCTTTCCTTCGCCACAAGCTCCTTGAATGCTGCCGGTCGTGTCCTCCGCACTTGCCCCAGAAACCATGGCCTGCAGCCGACTGTCAGGAAGCCCATGGACAGCAGCCTCAGCAGCATCCGCCATGCCCTGTGACGGGTGGTTGCGGGGTGCCATGGCTGCAGGTGCGGCAGCACTCCGTGGCTGGAGGGCAGAGGGCCCCAAGTGGAGGGCTCCATGGTTAGAGGGCACCGCGGGGTCTGAGGCTGGAAGGTGTGGTTGGAGGATCCTGGCTGCAAACCTTGCGGCTGAGGCTGGGGCGTGGTTGTTGGCTTGGGTGGAGGGCTTTGTTGCTGTCCTGCTGGCCAGAGAGAGCTTGGCCTGCGCCTGATAGGCACCGCGATCGGGGGAAGGGTCATGGGTGGCTGGAGGGCCGCGAAACCACGATGCTGTGTCGATCGGTTGGCTGTCGCTTTCAGTGGCGATGGGGTTACGGTTCGGTGACGAGATGTTGTTGCCTGTTACCGTGGCGTCTTGCAACTGCCGTACACCATGAACCGCTTCTTCACAAGGCAGGTGGCTGCCTGCGGCATCGCTAGCATCCGCCAGGCCACGCAAGCCAGGCTCAGCAAGCTTTCCTTCGTCACAAGCTCCTTGAATGCTGCCGGTCGTGTCCTCCGCACTTGCCCCAGAAACCATGGCCTGCAGCCGACTGTCAGGAAGCCCATGGACAGCAGCCTCAGCAGCATCCGCCACGGCTGAGGTTCGGCGGAGGCTGGGGCCGTGCTGTACGGTGGGTGGAAGGCTTTGGGGCTGGTGCGGCTATGGCCGGAGAGAAAGGTGGCCTTTGGATGGATTGCCCTGTGCTGGGGGGTCCATGTCTGGAGGGTCGGCCAGGTTTGGTGGGGTTTGATCAGCAAAATCCGTTGCGCACTCGGGGCCGTGACTTAAGTATCTTCCCGGATGCATCACCAAGCCGATTCACGTTGCGATTCACGGGATTTTCCAGCAACAACCGGAACCTGTTCCACTGTTCACCATCTCATGTTATCTCCGAACACACGAGGCGGACCCATCGGCCCCGGAAGCACTATCAGTGGATTCGTAATCGGATTCACTGCAAGGAAAACCCTCCGGCCGGGCTCGTCCGCTCCCGATGCTCAATCAGCTGATTCATGCTCGGACTTCATCACGCTTCTTCCAGCAAAATCGCCGATTGCATGGGGTATCACTGCAGAAGAACCTCGTCCTCATGGTTTCGCAATAACATCCTCCAAAGCGCACGAGTCGGGCTTGCGAGCACCGGAGAACCATCGGTGGTGCATCTTCGGCTTTAGGGACATCCTTTTCCGGCCTCCCCTGTCGACAAAGGGGCAATCCTGCGTCGGCGGCGAGCGCGCATTCATTTTCGGTTGAACTCTCTTAGCTCCACCGTCAGAGAAGCTGAGTGTTTTCGTCGGTTTAGGGCTTTTGCATCCCGAAGAATCGGTCGTGTCCCATGGGTTAGGATCGAAGAAGACGCGATGCTTCCGCATTCTTCTCCGCCGTTTCAGCAGCTCCGGCCGTTGGAACCTCCCCGCTATCGTATCCCGAGCGCCAGGACGTTTCGGACGTTTCCGGGCTTCTCAGCCTGGCGGGGTGTTTCTGAGAGTAGGGCTAGGGTTTCTATTCTTATAATGCTTGTTTTTACTTTGCGTCCCCATGTTCAGTGTGACAAACCTTTGCTCTAGCATTCTGACCAAACATAAACCGCTGCTTCAGTTGAGCCTCGGCCATTGCAGTCGCCCAGTGTGCCCTTGGCTCCTCTTCTGGGTCTGGCAGCCCTTCCAGTGGCTGTCCCAAATGGATCCTGCACGAATGTTGGGGGGAAAAAACGTCATAACACCGGCGCCTATGGTAGCCCTACACATATAGGTGTCGTGCAAACCCGAACACTGCATTACACGGGGCTGCTTGATTGCCTTTGAATGCAATCTTCTGTGCTGGTTCTGAATTGGGACCAGCCACTTGCAGATCCCCTGCCACTTGTGTCAACCAATGCGTTGTGGTCCTAGCACAGCGGGACTGTGATGCCAAACTCGCTGAAGCAACCTCTTTTCTCCAGCTAGTCAGCTGCCGGCCACCAAGTCCTGAAGGAGGCTCTGCATCAGCACGTCCTTGCGCACTGGCGTGCCAGCAGCGCGGGCTTGCCTCTTCCGCGAACTTTTAGTCAGAACAAAACTAGCATTCCACCAGCCATGATTCAGGCTCACCTATCAGGAACCAAAACCAGCGGGGCCGAGCAAGACAAGGGCCGAGCTTCAGTTTCCACCGACCACAGACCCCATCACGGCGCGTGTCGTGGCTGCTCTCTCTGTCGCGATTTCGATGCACCTGGTGCGTCGGAGGTCTGCACTAAGGGCCGAACAGAACAACACAAGCAAGCCTCCGGCTGCTATGCGGCCCGCGACTCGGAGCGATTGCCCGTTGACCGCTGGCCTGTCCACAATGCCCCAGCGTTCAACCTGCTACTACTGCAGCGACATCAACAACATTCGACTGATCACGGAAGCTTGCCGACGTTTTAGCCTTGTGGGCGAGGCGCGGTGCAGCCAAGCTGGGTTGCCATTGAATTCATGCACAGGCAGCACCAAGGCAGGCAAAGCAAATGTGCCACGGTGCAAATGTCAGGCTAATATTCCCAGTTCTCCTTACTTTCAGTTCTCAGCAGGCATCGCTCTCCAACTAACAGCAAGAAACAACAAAACAACAGAGCCCTAGAGTCCCGCCCATTTGAGGTTGGGGGAGCGGGTTGAGCCATCAGCAAGACAAAAGGGCCGGGGGGCGAAGGTGTTGGGGCCACGCAGATCCGGGAGACAGTCCTAAATTCATCTCCGTTTTTTTTTCATGAAGCAGCGAAGCTGAAATTGGAATTGGCATCCTGGCCGAAAACTTTCATTTTTTTTTATTTAGCTCAGGTGACCAAAACTGACAATTAAAAATGCCAGAAACAAAACCTTAATTGAGCTCCGAGTTTAAATGTCCGCGCTGACAATGAGTGTTTTTTCTGCTCTGAAACAAGCAGAATGATGCTGTACGTCATTTTGGACAAATTCAAACAATGCAAAGTTTAAAGTTCTTACACTCCCGCCATGCCATACAGAGACCAGTACCAGCGGCGGGAGGGCAATCTTTATTTGTTTTTCTTCTTTTTTTTTTGGGGGGGGGGGGGGTGGGGTGGCGGGGAGGGGCATGAGTGAAGATAATGAGTTCACGCCTGTGCCCCTACTGGTAGCACGAAAATTTACGGTTGCCCACTGCTTCGGGAAATGAAACCCCGAACTTTCAACGCGGATGGCCCGTACCGCTCCTCCAACTCGGCCACGGCTTTGTGGGATGCTGCGCTCCTGCATACGAAGTCTTGCGACACCCCGCACCGAATTTTTTGCCCTGCAGTAGAAGGGGATCCTTGCGCGAAGGTTGACCCGTCTCCGCAGCAGTCTGCACGACATCCTTAGAGCCGCCTGCAGAGGTGTTGTGTAGGATTCAGCCAATCGATGCCCTGGTCTCGTGTTCTGTCGCTGCACGGCCGGAGCTGTTTGCTCTTCCAGCATGCCCAGACTTTCCTGGACGGAAGTTTTTCGGGACAGGGCCAGTCAAGCCTCACCTTCAAAAATGACAGGCTACAGCCCAAGACTCCACAGCGCAAACCCAACATGCAAGCTGGCCAAACAGAATCATGTGCGCTGTTCTCTGGATCTAGTAGCATCTACAAACGCCGCAGCAAACGCTTCTTCTCCATTTCTAGTCGTGCCCTGCAAGCCCCCAGCACCAGAAAACCAAAAACTTGGCTACGGCCGTCCTCGTTGCCTATTCCTGCGGAGTCTTGCACGTGCACTGCGCCACGAACCACTTCTTCACAAGGCAGGCTGCCTGGTGGGGCATCGCCAGCATCCGCCAGGCCACGCAAGCCAGCCTCCGTATTCTCCCCTGTGCTTGCCTCCTCCATGACCGGAAGCTTGCTGTCAGGAAGCCCATGGACTGTCGCCATGCCTTGTGACGAGTGGGTGTATGGAGTTCCGGCGGCTGGGGTTTGCGCGCTGTCGCTCGCGTGGGTGGAAGGCTTTGGGGCTGGTGCCTTGGTGGCCGGAGGCAAGGTGGCCTGTGACCTTCCAGGGGGTCCAGTGACTGGGGGAACCTGGGCGACTGAAAAAGCCTCGCAGTCTGTTACTGCGGAGTCTTGCACGTGCACTGCGCCACGAACCACTTCTTCACAAGGCAGGCTGCCTGGTGGGGCATCGCCAGCATCCGCCAGGCCACGCAAGCCAGCCTCCGTATTCTCCCCTGTGCTTGCCTCCTCCATGACCGGAAGCTTGCTGTCAGGAAGCCCATGGACTGTCGCCATGCCTTGTGACGAGTGGGTGTATGGAGTTCCGGCGGCTGGGGTTTGCGCGCTGTCGCTCGCGTGGGTGGAAGGCTTTGGGGCTGGTGCCTTGGTGGCCGGAGGCAAGGTGGCCTGTGACCTTCCAGGGGGTCCAGTGACTGGGGGAACCTGGGCGACTGAAAAAGCCTGGCAGTTTGTTTCTGCGGAGTCTTGCATGTGCAATGCGCCAGCATCTGCCAGGCTACGCAAGCCAGGCTCAGCAGTCTGCCCTTCGTCAAGAGCTGCTACGACATTGGCAGCCTCCTTCTGCTCCCCTGTGCTTGCCTCTTCCTCCACGGCCTGGAGCCCATGGATTGCAGCCTCACCAGCATTCGAGGTACATGGAGATCTGGCTGAGGCTGGCGCCCTCTTGCTCGTGTGGGTGGAAGGCTCTTGGGCTGGTCCAGTGGCTGGAAGGTCCTGCACGGCTGGACTGCTGACATTGCGGAAGTGGACGGGTTGCAATTCTTGCCACGCGACACTCAGATGAACTGTAAAGGTTGCCTGCTGTTGACACTATAACTTGAAAAATGTTTAAGCGAATGCCTTTGCATGTCTTTGCTGTTTTTTAAGTTTTTTAACGTTTTGACTAGTAACGTGCCGTCCACATGACTTTTGCTGCAAAGAAAGCCTCCCCGAACCAACGAAGGGGAAAAAAGGAGCACAAGGACCTGCATCCCTACCAAAAAATGAGACAAGCCTCCCAGCAGAACATCACACCAACCCCCACACTCCGAAGGAAGAGCAAGAACAAAAACCCTAAACCCTAAACTAAACCGGTCAGCAAAAACGAAGCAAATCAGAATCAGAAAAGCCTCCGACCCCCCAAACGCAAAAAGAAAGTGAGAAGCTGGGACAAGCTCCGAAAACTACAGCCACCCACTCCGAGCCCGATATGAAGAGATAGACAAAGGGGGAGAGAAGGCACTGTAGGGAGCTTGGACACACAGCGAATCGTGCTTCAGCGAACCTAGAAGCCCGGCTCCTCGAGCGAAGGCGACTCGGCAGCAGTCTTTGCCAAAGACCGGCCGAGGGCCACCTGCACGTTTGGTGCGAGAATGCTGGCCACTTGATGCTCTGGTCTCACGTTCTGTCTCTGCACGGCCTGGAGCTGCTGCTCTTCCAGCGTGTCCAGCCTGTCCTGGAAGCAGAAAAAGCCCGATTGGCACATCGCGACCCAGAGCACGCGAGAACTACTGCTGTTTAGCCGATTAGCAACTACATTTGCATGTGTATAGTCGACTGTGTGCTGTCCCACTCCTGGACATCAGGCACGTCGGCCACACCGGCGTGGATGTCGGGAGCCCCAATGACTTGAGAGAGCTTGGTATGAACAAATGCTGTGTAGCCTCCCTGGGGCTGGGTGTCCGTGACAGCACCTCCTTCGACGTAGCTCCGAACCAGGAGCGCATAACTCTTGAAGACTGGTGCGAACTGCGATAAAATGTACTTGCCACGGTCGAGCATCTGGCTGTCCACGGCGAGCACATTTGTGAGAGACTTGCTTGGGCCAGCCTTCTTGATGCACGCCGCCATTTCCTGGACGACCTCAGGGAGGCACTCGCTCATCTGATCCAGCAGCTCACCCTCAGGGTGTCCTTGCCAAAACGCAAGGCTAGGATGGGCAGGCTTGGGCAGAAGGCGAAGAATCGGCTGGAGAGTGCCGTCAGCTGCCAGGCAATGGTGCTTGACCTTGTTGACGCGGCGGCCCATAGTGCGCCAGGCACCCTCTACATTTGCATCAGGTCCATCGTACAGACGCAGAAACCGTGGCGGCAAGTAGAAGTCATTGATTCGGCTGTACTCCGCCTCCTCCATGCCTCAGCAAGCCAAACGTCTTTCTTTGCGAGCCAACAAGGAAAACAATACACATGCTTGGCCTATGCTTGTGAGAACAACGTGTTGACCAAGGGGCTTTGATTGTTGCCGATGCCCAAGTTGAAGAACGAGCAAGTGATGCTGGCATCGTGCCCAAACAGCTGGACAGGGTACGCAATCTTCATCTTCTCACTCTCCGGATCGATGTCATAAACGTGCGCGTCCAAAGAATCAAAATCGTCGGATGTGCTTGGGCAAGCCTCGGAGGCAAACTGCACGGCTGTTTCCAAATAGCCGTGACCCTCCTTCGGCTTCATGATGTATCCCACCAGCACGTGGTTCCCATTCCTTGGTGTGTCCACGACAGCACGACAGCTTGCATAGCGATTAAGAATGATCAAGCGGAAGAACGCTTGCCTTGCTTTACAAGTTTCTCAATCAGGTTGGCCTCATCAAAGTACAAATCTCCATACTGGCTGTAATAGTCACTTGCCTGGCAACCATTTCTGGCAATTCAGGGAGGACATGCGGCATCACAAAAGACTCAATAAGAATAGCACCAGAACACGTCTGCAACAATTCCTGCTGGCGAACAGTGACTAGCAGGACTTAGTTGTCCGCTGTTCAGCCAAGTTGCTTTGCTTGCTTGGCGTTCCATGGCAGCGGGCGGATCCTGGATGCACAGTCAGAGCCAGTGTCGAACCGTCATCATCCCCGCACGTTTATCCCACTCACACCTGCTGCTTGCACACGGAGCTAACGTTTCACTTGAGATCGGGGCCGCGGAAGCTAGACATTTTTTGTCGTCGTGCGAAAGGGCAAAGCCCTGGTCGCGATCCCGTACACAGCTTGTAAACAAGAAGATATGTGGGGGGGGCCATCGGGCAGGGAGGGGCCCCCGCCATAACTTCAATTAATGGCTGAGGAGGGGCGGAGGGGGAAGGGGATGCACAGGCTCCGCGCACCTGTAAGCATTGATAAACCCGAACCAGATCAGGCCTCGAGAAAGAAAGCACGACGATGCAGAGCTCTAAGGAGCTACTAGGGGCTAGGTTCACTCACATCTTTGCGTGTGAAGTCACATCTCCCCAGTGACACGCGGCCGCGAGCGAAGTCACATCACCCCGCGTAAAGTCGCATCACAAAGACATATGTTGAAGCCTATGCATTTGTCACCGCACGCCTGGGAGGGGAGCACATTTGTGTGAGCGAGCTCGTTTGGGCTGTTGTCGTGGAATGTTGCACGCCAGGAACTTTGCCCCCAAAGATGAGGGGTGTTGTCGTGAATGAGATTTCTGCTTGGTGGTGCAAGTGGGTTCTGACCAATCTTGGAGTTTGCAAATCCCCAGTGTGCACGCGCCCGAGATACGACTTCACACAAGAAGATACGACTTAACCTACCCGCGGGTAGCTTTCGTGATCTAGTCTTTCAGTGTTGCGACTGGAACAAGGCTGCCAGCGTCCGGCCAGGCAATCGCTTCCCCCTAGCGATTATGAACCGAAGAGGTCACTGAGTCTCTTTCGATCATTCAAAACCTGCATGCACATCAAGGTTTCGCACCTGTCCATATGCACACGCGCCTTTTACTTGGGGGAGGGAAGTTTATACTGATTGCAAAGTCGTAGGACTGAGGACACAAACTGCTCCAACTTCAAAGGCGGGAGATTAAAAGCACACATGCGACACCTTCCTCATGCAGATGTGCTAATCACCGACGGGGCAGCGGTCCTTCAGCTGGCTGTCCATGGAATCGGCTTGGGGGTCCTGGGAATTCGGGACAGGATCTGGCAACAAAGCTGGCCGCAGCAAGATCTGCCCGGTCCTCTGCCACTTGCGACACACTATGTGCTTGATCCTCGCACCATCATGCGCTGCACAACCGCTACTTCAATTCAATTGTCAGCGTATGCTGCGCCCACGAAGTCCTGCGGGAGGGTCTGTGTCAGCACCAAGTTCTGGGGGGCAGCATTTCCTGGAGATGCGCCTGGAATTCCTCCTGGCCCGCATGGCTCAAGCTCGCAGATGACGAAGTGCTCGGGGACTTGATCAGGCATTGTCAAGTGCGATAGGCCATCTGGCTGATCTTGAGCTTGCGCCGATGCTGGTCGCCGGGAGTTGCCTTTAGTACTGCACACCATCAACACCGCGACTACAAGGCTAAATTTCAGGGGGCAAAAGGGGGCTCCGTTGTCTAAGAATTTGGGATTCATGGAACAGCCTCCAGCTCAACTTCAGCATGCGCAATTGTCGCCCTCGGGGTTAACGGCCCTTTTCTGAAAATCAACCCCTAAACTTAAATCCCCAAACCCCAAGTATTTTGTGCAGTGGGTTCTTCGCCGCGTGAATTCCGCCATTTCGAGAAATGTTAAAGCTTTCGTTCAGCGGCTAGCACCTCGAGATGTTCTACGACTTCACTGCGTGAACTATTGCATTTCCTGGTTGTGGGAGCTCCTGTCAATTGCTTCATGTCGAGCGTAACTGTTACGGCTTAACTTACAGTTCACGGGCAATTATTTGGGTCAGTGGTGCTCCAAGCATGGAATTTGATGCGCACGTGCTCGACTTGCAACGAATGGCTTGGCCTTGCCTTGGGTCGGGGGAGGGGGTGGGGTGAGGGGGTGGGCGCATACACTATCAACATCTAGGAATGGCATGATGCGACCGCGCGCGATCTTCAACAAATGGTCGTTTGATGTCGTTTGGCTGCCTGGTGGGGTGACTTGCTCTCAAGGGAACGAACGAAAAATTGCAACACTAATCCCCTCCCCACTCCCATTATGGCTATACCGGGGGTGGATTCGATAATGGGACAACGCCTGGTGGACGTGTTCAACACAAAACTTTTGAGAGCATCCATGTGTTGGCGAAGAAAGCAGGATGAAGGGAGGATACTGGTCTCTGGTGAAACCCTAACCCCAAGCCCTACAAAGACTGAGGTGCAGATGTCGGCAACGCGTGAAGACTCAGAGCAATCTCTCTCGACATCGCTGACATCGCTGGAGATGTCGAAGAACTCGGCGGCTGTGCCGTGCCCACTGTCTCCAGCGCAGCTTCTCTCGACCTGCATTGCCATGACCAATGCATCATACAACTTGTTGCTTTAAAAAACATGTTCTCTGCCATCTCATATTGCACCAGAACACCAGCAATGAGACCCTGCCTCAGGCTGCACCTCCGTGACAACGACATGGTCCGCCTGAGCTCAACTTGGAACTTGGGAAATGCCTGTGCAGCATTCGCGGGCTGCAAGACAGCAGTCACCGGACCTCATCCTGACACTTTGAAGCTGATGCGATTGGCGACAGATTCTGGAAATCCTGCCGGCGGTACATATGCGAGCTTCTCAGGGCTTCTCATGCCGACCAAAAGCGATCCGTGGGGCACTCCTCATTTAAGATGCCAAAAAGGGGGATGGTTCAGCACTGAAACACAGGGGAACTCATGACGTACAACTTCAAAGCACCTTAAAAGCACCTGTGGCGGTCAAGCTTCGAAGGCCGCCCCTACCATTTTGTGAATCATCTGATCCCCTCCTGTGCCTTTCTGCACTCCCCATATACACACATACATACATACATACATACATACATACATACATACATACATACATACATACATACATACATACATACATACATACATACATACATACATACATAGAATACGTGGAATACATATATATATATAGATTAGGCAAGGATCCAGATTGTTGTCTCCCACAGCATCCCTTGATCCTGTACTGTCCCTAAAAACAAACACAAACCCAAAACCGAGACGATGCTGCACGGGACCCACAAGAAATACAAAAACGGGTGCCCGGAGCTGGACAGGCCAAGAAGGTTGGGACAGTAACTTGGGATTGGTGTTGTTGAGACAGCGCAGCCTTTTGGCGACCTTGAACCTCAAAAGTGCTGTGCCGTCCACATCGTTTTAATACCTGGAAGCAAAAAAACCTTGCTGTACTGCACTTTTTGCTACTTCAGATCTCAAAAGTGGTGTACTGTCCTCAAAAACCCGTGAAAAAATCTGAAGATTAAGGACAGCACGGAGAGACATTGTTTTCTTTTGTGTTGTGCAGCAATTTGGAGGCCAGAGATTGAAAAAATGCAGCAGAACAGCACTCATATGAACCTAAGCTTCAACCCAAAAACGAGTTCTGCTGATTTCTCTTAATGAATGTGGTTCGTGCAAAAATTAGTCAGGTAGAACTTTGTGGACTCGTTATTACTGTATTGGTTCCCCCTATCCAAAATTAACTTCAAACAGCTTCACGAATTTGATTTTTAATGGAGGTCATTCAAGCTTGCTAAAGCACTCATAGTATTCACCGGCCGTCTTACTTGAAACCACACAAACTGACGCAAGTTGAATACAGACCCCAATGCCCTTGAAAAAACACGTAATGGTTTTAAACCCCCGAAGCTCATTAGGCCCACAGGTTGTCCCAATGCGAAGCTTTTAATAACACAGCCCTTAGTTGTCACTGCATTTTACAGAGGAGAAAACATATACTCAAACAAAGAAACAAAAGCTAGCAAAACCAGAGGTATGGATCGGGGGGGGTGACCGTGTTTTTGGCTGATACAGTTTCTGCATTATTTTCCCTTTCGTCCCCTTTGCTTCCTTCCTTGCCTTCTTGCTTCCTGTCTTTCTTCCTTCCTTTGCCTTTTCTTCCTCCTGCTCCTTCTCCTTTTGTTTTTTGTTTCCTTTTTTCCTTCCGTCTTTCCGCTCTTTAAACTTTAACGCTGAAATTTCTTCATCCCTGACGGAATGTTCTGATCCTTTTAAAGTGTGCGTAAGGCCAGACCCCAACCAGCCGGTCCCGCGCCTGCTCCTCCAATCTCTCTCTTTGTTTCCAGACGCCGCGCTCCTGCGGGCGAAGTGTGGCCACACCCCATGACTGTTGATGTGGCTCTTATTCGGACCTCATTCCTGCCTCCTAACTTGCTTCAGAGAATCGCAAAGCCCGGCTCCTCGAGCGAAGGCGACGCGTCAGCGGCAATCTGCAAAGACTGCATGGGGGCCGCCTGCACGTTTGATGAGAATGCTGCATTCTGCCGATGCTCCGCTCTCGCAACGTGCCGTGCACGGCCTGGAGCTGCTGTTGCTCTTCCAGCATGCCCAGACTGTCCTGGAAGCAGAACACCACGTCACACCGTGAAGAAATGTCTAAGGCAGGTATTTGTACATCAGAGACTTGATGGCTTGAACGTGGTGGCGCGCACCTAACCAACCTGAATCCATGTCCGAAAAACCGTCTCCCAGAACAGAGAATTTGGCTGCAGGATGTCCTCGATGCTTGCGACCACGGAGTCTTGCAAGTGCAGTGCATCATGAACCGCTTCTTCGCGAGGCAGGCTGCTGTCTGGGGAATCGCCAGCATCCGCCACATGCTCAGCAGCCTTTCCTTCGTCACGAGCTGCTTGGACGTTGGCGGCCGCCCTGATCTCCCCCACGCTTGCCTCGAGTGAAGCCTCGCGGGCATCTTCCTCACCTTTGCCATGTACATCATCACCACATACTTTGTCACCCGCCTGGCCCTTTGCATCATCGGCCGCCATGTCATGCAATGGACCAGCCTCGTCCTCCTCACCAGAATCATCCTCTCCTCTGCATTCTGATCCTTCAGCATCACTTTCGCAACTGAGCTCAACCTCACTGCCTTCTGCATCAGCATACTCATCACCTGAGCCTTCAGACGAACACTCTTCTGAGTGCCCATCCTCTGCTCCTTCCTCCTCCTCCTCCTCAGAGGCAGCACCTTCACCCTGGTCCTCATCAGCACCTGCGGCCTTGAAAACATCCACATGTAGGTCCTGTCCAGATCCGCCTTGGCTCTGCCCATCATGACCATCATGTCTCGGAGCCATTTCATGAGCTGGTGTTCTGGTCATCGACCCGCTGGAAAATGAACTCATGTGCGGATGGCCTGAGCCAATCAGTAAGCTTGAGTCAGGACCTTCTTCCAGCCCGAATCCATCGAAGCAGCATTCCGCCACCTCCACTCTCAATCTGCGTCTCTCGAGCGCATCTCCCAGCAAGGCTGTGCAAGCAGGAGTGGAGGCACGAGACTCCATGCCCTCTCGAAGTCAGTCCTATAACCCCTTTAATGTTGAAGGGAAAAAATGCGTTAGCTGTGTGGGTAGTGCTGCACTGGCAAAGAGTATTTCCAAGCCACTTTGCAGACCTGACCATTGCTGGTTGACGACTGACTTTAGGAAAACTTGAGGGAGACGCACCAACAGCGGGTTCCGGTGAACCTAACTTCTCAAACATGCCGAGGCAAGTCGTACCTTTGGCGACTCAAACGCCGTGCACCCTGCTTCTTATTTTCAGCCTTTTCCAAGCGTGCCGCCGTCCGCAGAAGGATGCACCCTTGCAGCTGTCTCCTGCAGGTAGTCGGTGAACGCTGATGACGTAAAGTGGTGGTGCCATGCCAAGTCTTCGAGAAATCAAAAAACATCATGCCCTGGAACAAGAGTCGCCTGACTTTAAGTGGCCAAGGAGTCTGCGATGTGGCGGCATTCTAGCAGTGCGGCCTCCTGTGCGGGGAGGAGGCAATAAGGCAGGGACGCTTGCAAGCAAGAGTTCCGAGTGGCTGACATTAGCCGCATGGAAAGCCAGTCGAGCTACCTGATAAGAACATCCGCAAACAAGAGCCAGACAGCCGTAAATATCTGATGTCTCAAAACGAAAGATGGGAAGATGGCATGGGGAGCGTCCGGTGGCGCCTCGAGCAAGTAAGCAAAGTACCTGGGCAGCAAATTTCATGAGAACCGAGCCTCAAAGGCTCTTGCTGTAAGCTGAACAGCCTCAACCTGGCTGCATTTGATCGACTGCCAAGTGCTGTTTCATTGTCTTTTCAGGCACCGGCTCTGTGGTGAGGAGCAAATCACTCCAGCTCAGGCGTCCTCGAGCACGATGCCAAGATTTGCACAATCATGTGTACATTACTGAAGCAGCGCAGAATCCAAGCTGCTCTGCTTACAAACTCAGGCTCGACTCGTCCTCCTCCCTCCTCACCCTCACAGCGGCAGTGCCTTCTTCGCGCTTTGTCAGCCGATCCAAACTGAGTACTCAGAGTACTCCTCTTCAACCTCTTCTGTGCGGTCTGACCCATCCACCTTTGGACCAATCAACGTCCAGCTCGGTTGCCTGTGCTGACTGTCTCTCCTCCAACCCTTTCAAGATCCAGTCCTGGCAGCCATCGCCAGTTAAGGATCGCCAATGGTGAGCCCTTGCACCCTTGCACTCTTGGATGTTTTTTGCAGGTGTTTGCGGTGTTGAAGAGGTGCCCCCTGCATCCCCCAGTCCGCAAATGGAGTCCCATTGCGCTGGCAGCAGCACAACTTCCCTAGGAGCTCTCGGAACCACAGCGATGATGATGTTCAAGGTTGTCGACCCAGATCCTTCGAAGCCGTATCCTGGCACCTCTACTTCTGCCTTGCGCTGCGCGGGTGCATGTCCGGGCGAATCATAGGACATGGAAACGGGAACATTGTCCAACGACGTGATTGAGCTCTCTCATTCAACCTTTGCAGAACCCGAGCAAATACTTCCTTTGTGCCATCTCTAGAACTCGATTTATCAACAAAATTTAGACCAACATTTCCACCATTCCCAACGCGCCGAAGTATGAGCCTCTTTGAGCACAGAGCAAGCCAGAGCGAAAGTTTCTGCCTAGAACGGATCTGCATCTTCGAAAGAGGCGCTTCTCACGATGCCATGTTCTGGAACCTTTTGCGTGAAACATCGCCTGTCATGTGGTCAGCTGAGAAGCCAGATGTTGGACAAAGCCGTTCATCTCAGTATCTTTGACACTGTGTTTGGTAACTTTTCGGTGAGGCCGGACTGTGTTGCCGGAGTCTGTACCAGGGGAAACGGAAAACCTGCAGGGTGAACGAAATCCTGCGGGATGCCTTGTTCGGCTCCGCTCGCTCTTGAATTTTAGTGGCCTCGAGGCTCACTTCTTAAACGTCTTGCAGGCCAAGGTATGCACGGCTCTATCCTGAACTAGAGTCTCTAGTATGTCCATGGATCATGCGCAACGCGCGAGAATGTGCCAGGCCTGCAAGGGTCGATATGTAGTATATACGGGTCTACAAAGACAGCCAAGAGACGTTCGTCTCGATTTACATTTACAGCCTACTTTTTGAAACTCCAATGGTCAATGACCATATCAGCCTGACTGGCTGAGCTCGATTCTCAAAGCCTTAAAGTAATTTCGTTCGGAGTCATCGGACTCGCCGTTCTCGAACAGAAAATACGCACGTTCCAAAACGCGCTTCTGAAGGCTTGGACTAAGGCCCCGCTCATGGGCTCTTCTCGCCATCGCATCTGTGACCTGATCAAATTTTCAGGGTGCCTTCTCTGTCACCGCTGCTTCTTCTGCTTCTTCTTCTTCTTGCAAGTGGCTGTACCGTCGCCCACAAGCACAATCCTTTCAAGAAGCCTCTGTCAAACTTGAGAAATTCTGATTCCTGCCAGATCACTCATCGCATTTAAACCCCAAGCCTGTAGTCTGGCCTCAAGCTTGGGCCATTCAGAGTTATCTTGCCAGCCCTCTCTTCTCCCCAAACAGGAAACCAGGAATGCCCACCTTCAATTCAATACTGATCCAGCAGCAAATCCCGATGTAACTAGAAGAAGAAGAAGAAGAAGAAGTTGGGCACCAAATTTAACCAGAAATTCCGCATTTCAAGTTATACGGCTATACGGGTTTCAGGAATCCCGGAATCCTTGTGTTGAATGTGCATGTAGAAGTCTGAAAAGAAGTTCATGGAGTCCTAGTGCATTAAAAATGGAAGCTCCTTCGTCCTACCGGCATCTGGAATTTCGAGAACTTCCGATTGCCATGCATTGGGAAGGGCGAAGGGGAAGGGGGAGAGGAGTGGGGGGGGGAGCGGGGGAGAGAAGGACGGGGGACAGGGGACAGGGGACAGGGGACAGGGGAGAGGGGACAGGGGACAAAGGACAGGGGACGAGGGGGGAGAGGGGAGAGGGGAGAGGGGAGAGGGGAGAGGGGGGAGAGGGGAGGGAGGGGAGAGGGGGAGAGGGGAGGGGAGAAGGGAGAGGGGAGAGGGGAGAGGGGAGAGGGGAGAGGGGAGGAGAAACTTCATCCACCAAGTCAAGCCAAAGCACATGCACGGGCGGGCTGCAGACTCTCTCTACGCCGCCACAATCGCCCACAGGTGGAGTACTCCCATGGCAGGAGCTTGGCACTGTACCGGTGGAGCCCGTTCGAGTCGTGCGGCCTTGTTGGTGATGTTTGCCATGCTTTCCTTGCTTGCCGGCGGCTGGCCGGTCATCAGCTGCTGTGCTGTGGCTATGATGGCTATGATGCTTGTGCTGGATCTCACTCTGGTGGTGATGCCTTGCAGATCGGAGGGCATTCTGATTTGCTTGGGCTGCATGCTTCATCGGCTCGGCAGCTGTGTCCAGGTTGCTTTCGGAGGCAGCGCTGTCTGCCGCAAACAAGAAGCTGGAGAGGTGTGGGGAAGGAGCTTCGGGCGAAGGCTGGAAGAAAAGGAACTCCGCGAAGCTGGAGCTCTGCACTGGTGCCGGCTTAGAGTCTGCTGAGGTCTTGCTGGAAGCTGCCGAACCAGCAGGCCCTGACTGCGGTGTTGGAAGCTGAGAAATCTTTGGGACTCTTCTGGCTGCCTTTGGTGGAAGCGGAGGCTGTGGGTCTGCTTGGCCTGCACGAGGCCTGTCGCAGCCGGAGCCGTCGCTGCCCGACACGGATCGAGGGTTTGGGCTGATATCCCGCTGCTCGACTATCTCAGAAAACCGAAGTGTCCTCATTGGCCTGGCTCGGCTGGCGTCCCTAAGAGCCGATGGCAGAGGAGATGGAGAAGGTCTTGGCGCGGGCTTTGTGGATACACTGCCGGCTGCACTCCCGCATGCTCCATTTATGCCGACTGCCATCTCTGTCGCTGACTGAAAGGGCTGAAAGGGCACTTGGAACGGGGGAGTGCCCTCCAGCAGCGTCTGGCTCCATGCCACTTCGCGCTTCAGCAGTGGAGGGCGCTGGTTTGGCTTCGCCTCCTCGCGTACATCTTGGGCACGTACGCTGTGCCTCCGTCGACGATCAGCGTGCACAGGCTTCGCCTCCTGGCGTGTGGGGTCTGTGTATTGGGGGGGGGGGGTGGGGAGGTAGCATGAAGCAGGTACCCCACATCTAATCCCCCCTACACACACCCACTCGGTTTTGCTTGGAATGGGCGCCGTGTCAGAAAAGAAAGTGCCAAACCAGACCTGACCCACACTCACCCCCGTCTGCCCTAGCACTTCGTGTCAGGAGCTGCTTCTGCAATAGCGACCCCCCCTCCTGGGCGTGTTGCGTAACGTTAAACCAGACTGGTTACACTTCAAATTGCAGGCCATGAGGCATTAGGACTAGTTGTAAGGGTGGCATGCCTTTGACGCTACAACTTGAAAGCATTAACCCAATGCCTTTGCATTTAATTCGCTAAGTGCCGTCCACATGATTTTCACAGTAAAACCGTTTCAACACCCCTAACAAACTGTACAGCTTCGGGCATCTCACTCTAACTCAGCTAAACCACAAACTACTCGTCTTGCTGGCCCAAAAGAGACCTCGTGCCGGCCCGAACCTGCCCCTGACATGAAGAGAGACAAAGGAAACTAGGAATTTTCGCGCGGAAAGAGTGGGCGTTGTGGGGGGTGTGGCCATACCGAATTCTGCAGTACAGCGGGTGTGAATGGCTGACGCAACGAACCCTTCAGCGAACCTAGAAGCTCGGCTCCTCGAGGGAAGGCGAATGCAAAGACCGCCTGAGGGCCACCTGCACGATTGGCGAGAGAATGCAGCCCAATCCATGCTCTGGTCACTCTGGTCTCTCATGCTCTGTCGCTGCACGGCCTGGAGCTGCTGCTCTTCCAGCATGTCCAGCCTGTCCTGGAAGCACAGAAACCCCGCCGGGCGTGGGTGTAGATGCTAGATCCAGAGCACCAATAGTTCAAGAAACAGTCCGAACACTCTCTCATCTACTTGTGGACGTGCTCAGGGCTCACCGGCTTTCAGATATCGTACATTGACATGACATCTAGTCGCGAATGGTCTCCGCCTCCTGCGTTCTCTGCTTCTCCTCAACCTTCCGCTTGGCGGAATCCTCTGTGTGCACCTTTTTGGGTTCCTCCTTCTTCTTGACTTCCTCCTGTCGTTTGGCCTGAGCCTCCGGCCTCTTCTTCTCTGCTGCCTCTGCGCGCGCCCTCTTGGGTTGCTCCTTCTTCGCGTCCTGCTGCCGTTTAGCCTCAGCCTCCGGGCTTGGCTCTGTCTCTCGACCATGAACAGACACGCTCTGTGCAAGACTTGATTCGCTAGTTGACGTTAATTGCATGTTTTGATGTTGAAGGCGGTGCGACAGCAAATGGGGTAACTGCCGAACACGTGTTCCCAAGTAAAAGTGCCCTTCGCATGCTCTCTCATCCCGTCTGGCCTCCTCCTCCTCCACCTTCTGCTTCTCATTCTGAACCTTGTGACTGGCAGCCTCCTGTGTGTGTGCCTTCTCAGCTTCAGCTTGCGGCTTCTTCTCCGCCTGGCACTTGGCCGCCACCTTCTCGGGTTCATCCTTCTTCTTGGCTTGCTCCTGGCGTTTGGCCTCAGCCTCCGGCTTCTTCTCCTCCTCGGAGCGACACTTGGCTGCCGCCTCTGCGCGGTCTACGCGCGCCTTCTCCGCTACCTCCTTCTTCTTGGCGTCCTGCTGGCGTCTGGTCTCAGGGCTCTCCTTCTTCTTCTGCTCCTGAGCTTGGCGCTTTGACTTTGCCTCCACCATGAAACAGAAACGCTCTGTGCAAGACTTACTTCGTCAGTTGATGTAGACTGAATGTTTTTGGCAGGGGTGCGCTGGGCGGCACGCAACATGAGCCAGTCCACCTTGTTGCACTGCAATTTGCGGTCGCTACATCCACATGCAGCCAGATTCACGCCCAAACCCTGTTGCCAAGTTCCTCCTGTTGGTTCTGTTGGCTTTGGAGGTGGGGGGGTGCGGGGGAAGTGGCGTCGGGGGGGGGGGGGGGGGGGGGCTCTTCAGGTCTTCTAAGGTTCTTCGTTGATTGACCTACCTTCCATGACTCCTGGCCGCGCGTAGTGGAGGATTCCTGATTTAAGAGTTGGGATTCCAGGGGTCCAGGAGCTTGCCCGACATCGTGCGTTTTGTGTTCGAAAGAATCCGCGAGTGGAGCGGATCGACGAGCTGTGGTTGCTGACGCGCAGCGTTTTAGCATTGTCTTACCGTGCTGAGTCACGAGGCTCGGGCCCCTCATGTATGCCTCAGATGAGCCATCCTGGCAACTGTCGTTACTTTTGGGCGAGGATGAGTTGCACCAACTTCTGGGAGACTCTGGGTTGGGCACTCCAGGGAAACTCTGGGGCTGGGCACTTCTTTGGGAACTCCAGCCAGGGAGACCCTGCGGTTGGGCACTCCAGGGAGACTGTGGGGTTGGGCACTCCAAGAGTCTAGGGCGTCTCTGGGGTTGGGCACTCCAGGGAGACTCTGGTTAGGCACTCAGGGAGTCTCTCGAAGCAGACCGGGCGAGGAGAAGAGTTCCGGGCGAGGGAGTTCTGGGCCAGGAGAAAAGAAGAGTTGAGTTTAAACTCTAACAACCCCACACCGAAGGTGGGGAATAATACCTACCATTGGGGTCTAAAGTCTGCAAATGATACCTACTTTGGGGTATTTGGAGCCTTAGGTTTAGGGTTGAGTTCTACTGCAAACTGAATTTAAGGGGTATAAGGAGGGACCCCTAGAACTGTCGTCACTTTTGGAGCCTCGTTTGTTGTTCGCACCTGAAAAAATGTTGCAGGCAGTTACGAGTCGGGGTGCGCCATCCTCGTAACTGTCGTCACTTTTGAAATTTCAAGAATGAGCAAAAGAAAGAGAAAGAGAGAGAGAGAGAGAGCGAGAGAGAGAGCGAGAGAGAGAGATCGAGAGAGAGGACGAGAGAAAAGAGAGTGAGAGAGAGAGAAAAGAGAGAAAAGAGAGAAAAGAGAGAAAAGAGAGAAAAGAGAGAAAAGAGAGAAAAGAGAGAAAAGAGAGAAAAGAGAGAAAAGAGAGAAAAGAGAAAGAGGAGAGGCAGAGAGAGAGAGAGAGAGATGTGAGTGAGAGAGAGACAGTGAGAGAGAGAGAGAGAGAGAGCCAGAAAGCCAGAGAGACATATGAGAGATAGAGAGAGATAATTGCCATGTCATAGTGAGAGAGCGAGAAAGAGAGCGATAGCGAGAGAGAGAGAGAGAGAAATGGGAAGAGACGGATAAGACACTTCACTTCGCATCTCGTGTCGTGCGCCGCGTCTCTCTCGCGGTGTCTGTGACACGTGTCCTTTCTCGTTGCCCCTCTCATCTCATGTTTCGCTGACTTTGGTTGGCAAGGGGGGCATCATGTTGAAGGCGGTGCGACAGCAAATGGGATAACTGCCGAACACGTGTTCTCAAGTAAAAGTGCCCTTCGCATGCTCTCTCATCCCGTCTGGCCTCCTCCTCAACCTTCTGCTTCTCATTCTGAACCTTGTGACTGGCGGCCTCCCGTGTGTGTGCCTTCTCAGCTTCAGCTTGCGGCTTCTTCTCCGCCTGGCACTTGGCCGCCACCTTCTCGGGTTCATCCTTCTTCTTGGCTTGCTCCTGGCGTTTGGCCTCAGCCTCCGGCTTCTTCTCCTCCTCGGAGCGACACTTGGCTGCCGCCTCTGCGCGGTCCACGCGCGCCTTCTCCGCTACCTCCTTCTTCTTGGCGTCCTGCTGGCGTCTGGTCTCAGGGCTCTCTTTCTTCTTCTGCTCCTGAGCTTGGCGCTTTGACTTTGCCTCCACCATGAAACAGAAACGCTCTGTGCAAGACTTACTTCGTCAGTTGATGTAGACTGAATGTTTTTGGCAGGGGTGACCTTGTTGCACTGCAATTTGCAGTCGCTACATCCACATGCCAAGTTCCACTGGCGGCTAGTAGCAGCTAGATTATGTCACTCCAGCTGGTTCTGTTGGCCTTCTGTTGGCATTGGGTGTGGGGGGGGGGCGAGGGTGGGGAGGAGGGGAAGTGCTTCAGCTCTTCTCTGGCTCTTCCTTGATAACCGATACCGATAACCCTCCATATCTCCCTCTGAAACAGATGTTAGGCCTGTTGCCATGCCTTCTGACTTTTCTGCAAGGCCCTTTATGCATGATCCCATCATTCCTTTGTACCAAGCTCGGTGCCAAACTCTAATCCCGCGGCTCAGTTTGAGAACGCTGACTTTGATTGGCAAGGGGGGTATCATGTTGAAGGCGGCGCGTCCCGAAAACTCACTCGCATGCTCTCTCATCCCGTCTGGCCTCCTCCTCCTCCACCTTCTTCTTCTCCTCCTCAGCTTTGTACCTTGCAGCTTCGTCTGCGTATGCCTTCTCAGCTTCCTCTTTCTTCTTAGCTTCCTCCTGGCGTTTGGTCTCAGCTTGCGGCTGACGCTCCTTCTCAGCTTCGTCATGGCGGGCGGAGGGCTCCCAGCGGAAGGCCCCATCAGTGGAGGCTGGAAGGTCCCACCTTGCGAGGACGGAGGGCTCTGAGGGTTGGAGGGCTGCTGCAGCGGACTTTGGCTGCAGGCTGGAGCGTTCCGTGGCAAGCGTGGGGGCGAAGGGACGGCCCTGTGTGGCCTGTGGCTGAAGGTCGCCATAGCTGTTCGTGTAGGTGGAAGGGTTTGCGGCTAGAGTGGCCTGCTGGAGGGCTCTGTGGCTAGACCCTAGGTGGTGGGTGGCTGGAGGGCCAGACCACGAAGGGGCATCGGTCGGTGTGACCTTATTTTCTGCGGCGAGGTTGTGGTTCGGTGACGATACTGAGGCGATGTTGGTACTGGCTGGAGCATGCGCCAGGCCTTGCAAGCCGGGCTTATCCGCTGTCTTTCCGAGCGTTTGTGTCTCCCCCTCGCTTGCGGGAAGAGCACGGACAGCTGCTCCCCGGGCATCTTCCTCACCAGCACCATTTATGCCCTGCGACCGGTGGTTTTGCCAGGCAAGGGTGGAGGGAGTTGGGGTAACGTTGGTGGAGGGCCCTGTGGCCTGTGGCTGGAGGGTTCTGGTAGGGGTTGTGTGGCTGGAAGGCTTTGGGGCGAGCTGCAGCGCTTTGTGGCTGGAGGGGTTTAGGTTGCTGGCAGGCCCGGTGTTCCAGGTGACTGGAGGGCCAGACAACGAAGCGGCATCGATCGGTGTGATGTTGGCGGTGGCATTGCGGTTCGGAAACGATGCTGATGCGATGTTGATACTGACTGGGGCATCGCCAGCATCCGCCAGGCCTTGCAAGCCGGGCTCGTCCGCAGTCTTCCCGAGTGCTTGGGTCTCCCCATCGCTTGCCTCCAGCCGAGCAGCGGGAAGAGCACGGACAGCTGCTCCCCGGGCATCCTCCTCACCAGCACCATCTGCTATGCCCTGCGACCGGTGGTTTTGCCAGGTGAGGGCGGAGGGTGTTGGGGTCACGGGGGTGGGAGGCCCTGTGGCCTGTGGCTGGAGGGTTCTGGTAGAGCCCATGTGTGTGGAAGGCTTTGGGGCCGGCTGCAGCGCTTTGTGGCTGGAGGGGTTTAGGTTGCTGGCAGGCCCGGTGTTCCAGGTGACTGGAGGGCCAGACAACGAAGCGGCATCGATCGGTGTGATGTTCGCGGTGACATTGCGGTTCGGAAACGATGCTGATGCGATGTTGATACTGACTGGGGCATCGCCAGCATCCGCCAGGCCTTGCAAGCCGGGCTCGTCCGCAGTCCTTCCGAGTGCTTGGGTCTCCCCACCGCTTGCCTCCAGCCGAGCAGCGGGAAGAGCACGGACGGTGTTCCAGGTGACTGGACGGCCGGACCACGAAGCGGCATCGATCGGTGTGATGTTCTCCGCAGTGGCATTGCGGTTCGGAAACGATACTGATGTGTTGATACTGACTGGGGCATCCGCCAGGCCTTGCAAGCCGGGCTCGTCCGCAGTCTTCCCGAGTGCTTGGGTCTCCCCATCGCTTGCCTCCAGCCGAGCAGCGGGAAGAGCACGGACAGCTGCTCCCCGGGCATCTTCCTCACCAGCACCATCTGCTATGCCCTGCGACCGGTGGTTTTGCCAGGTGAGGGCGGAGGGTGTTGGGGTCACGGGGGTGGGAGGCCCTGTGAACTGTGGCTGGAGGGTTCTGGTAGAGCCCATGTGTGTGGAAGGCTTTGGGGCCGGCTGCAGCGCTTTGTGGCTGGAGGGGTTTAGGTTGCTGGCAGGCCCGGTGTTCCAGGTGACTGGAGGGCCAGACAACGAAGCGGCATCGATCGGTGTGATGTTCGCGGTGGCATTGCGGTTCGGAAACGATGCTGATGCGATGTTGATACTGACTGGGGCATCGCCAGCATCCGCCAGGCCTTGCAAGCCGGGCTCGTCCGCAGTCTTTCCGAGTGCTTGGGTCTCCCCATCGCTTGCCTCCAGCCGAGCAGCGGGAAGAGCACGGACAGCTGCCCCCCGCGCATCTTCCTCACCAGCACCATCTGCTATGCCCTGCGACCGGTGGTCTTGCCAGGTGAGGGCGGAGGGTGTTGGGGTCACGTGGGTGGAGGGCCCTGTGGCCTGTTGCTGGAGGGTTCTGGTAGGGGCTATGTGGCTGGAAGGCTCTGGCGCGAGTTGCAGTTCTTTGTGGCTGGAGGGGTGTAGAGATATTGATTCATGCTCGGCTTCACGCACGGCGCCAGCAGAATCGCCTGGGTCGGCTACCCTGGCCTCATGAGGCACAATCCCCTCGCCAGCCTCCAAACAGCCCGAGTCGGGCTTGTGCGCCTGGGATGCACCGGCGGATTTGGGAACCTCCTCTCTGGCCTCCCTGTCGACAAAGGCGGCCTCCTGCCTCGCGTTCGGATTGAACTCTCTTAGCTCCACCACGTCAGAGAAGCTGAGTGTCTTCCGCGGCTTAGGGCTGGTTACATCCCGAAGAATCGGTCGTGTCTCCGGGTAAGATCGGACACCCTCCGAAGATGCAGCCTCACAGGGAACTTCATCCGCCCGGCTCTCCAATGCCGTCCATGAGCACCAAGACATTTCGTGCTTGATGTCAGGCCTGTCCTGGACAGCGTGGCAGGGGATGTGGGATGTGTGGGTACTAGTCTGCGTTTGCTTGCACAGTTTAAGTGTTGCTGGCTCATAAGCGTTCCGATCTTGTGAAAGAAGTTTAAAGTTGAAGAAACATTTAAGCACGAAGCCTGCAACTGCGCCGAGGCCGCAGTGCGGGCCACCTGTGCCAGCGCTTCCGCGGGTTCCTCCTCTGGTTCTGGTAGCCCTCCTCTGGCTGTCCAAGTAGGCTCCTGTGGGATTCTAGTTTGGGGCCAAAAGATAGGTGTGGGTGAGGCTAAAGGCAAGAACTAGACGTGTGATGTGGATCATAACACCGGCACCATTCAAATAAACAGACAAGTGTGTTGGAAGTCATGTCGCATAACGTGCAGCCGGAACTCTGCATGACATGTTAGGGCTGTTAGATGCCATTGAGTGCCAGTCTTTTGTCGCTGAATCTGGGACAAGCCACTTGCAGATCCCCTGCCACTTGCGACAACCAATGCGGTTGGTCCTGGTCCTAGCACAGCGATGCGATGCTCAACTCGCTGAAGCAATCTCTTTTTCTCGTGTGAGTAAGCTGCCAAAAAAAGTCCTGAAGGAGGCTCTCCATCAGCACGTTTTGCTCGGCTGGCGATAATAACTGTGCGGGCTTGCCTCTTCTGCGAACTTTTTAGTCAAACGAAACAATACACCAGCCTTCAGGCTCACCTATCAGGAACAAAACCATCAGCGCTGCCTAACAAGACAAGGTGCGATCTTCAGATTCAGTTCCGCCGACAGGCTCGGAGCCAACCGCCCACCCAATCGCTGCGCCGGCGTCGTGGCTGCTCTCTCTGTCGCGACTTTGCTGGGCCTGGTGCGACGGCAGACTCGTCTCATGCCTGCGATAAGGGCCGAACATGAGCAACGCCTCGAGTTGTTCTGTGGCCGCAATCGGAGCGCTTGCCCTCGTCTGACAGCTGGCCTGTCCCACATGACTCAACAGTTCGGCCACTTGGATTCAATCCTGCTACTTCTTTGAGGCCTTCTGAGGTGCGGCTTCACCAAGTGAATTTCGAAAGTCAGGCTAGCTGTTCCTTGTTCCTTCGGCAGGCACCTCTCCTTACCCACTATTGCTCGGCAAGCGTCACTCTTCGAACTAAACAGCAAGAACTGCAAGAACCGTGTGCTGAGGTTGAGTTTCCATTTAGTGGGATTTCAGCTGTGGCCTTTGTCGCTACCCCCATGTCGCATTCCTCACTCGGCTTTCTTGGCCCAGGTTTCGCGCAGAGACGCGGGAGCACACACCACCAGGCCGGCTTAACAGCTTGGGGCAGCTCAGTGTGGCCAGGAGTCACACTTCTTTTTTCGCGGCAGCAACGGCATTATTCAACTACTCTTGTGCGCTCGAACAGCTTGCTTGTTCTGCATGGGCGCCGGCACCGTGCCCCTTTTGCTCCCGCTCAGTCTCCGTCCAAAGCCAATACCAAGCCGATTCCAAACGACTCTCGACCTCGTTCATTGGGCCTTCCCTCAATTCCCAAACCCCTCCTGAGCACTGAGTTTGGACAGGGCATAAGGCCCTGTTGAATTTGGACCGCGCCCCTATTGAGTTGAGGGCAGACAAACGGCAGATATTTTTTTAACTTGAGCCGTAACCATTTCCTTAAGCAAACTATATTCCAGGTAACCCACATGTCGATCTTTTGGGCTGCAGTGGTGCCTGTCGGCCGACATGTTTCGGATTGTCTGCAATCGGTGTGATTGTGCATGATGTTTGCACGGTGTGAAAAGCGCAAAGGAATGCATTTGTTAACCATTTGCATTTGTTAACCATTCAGTTCTGCTTCAAGTGATTGAAAGTAGAGACCCGAAACCTCGGCCCCACCAGTGCGCAAACCAACCGTCAGACTCCTAGAGACCCGAAACCTCAGCCCCAGCAGCGAGGTTTCAGGGCGTGGTTCAGCGCTTGGTTCACGCGGCGTGCAATCCGACCGCCAGGCCCCCTCGAGGTCTGCTGCGGTCTTTGGTGTGCGCAACGTGCAGCGCTCGTTTCTGTGATGTCCGTGGCATGATGTGTGCGGACGTCCTCGGAGTTCTGCGCTGTATTACAACAGTCCGCTCCTACTACAGTTCGGAGCCATGTGCGTGGGATCGAGCGGCAACGAGCGGTAAAAGGTTCCACGCGCGGCGACAATACTGCACTCTTGAGAAAGCGAATATGCAAGGGAGAGGGCGTTCCGAAAGCCACGACATGCGACGACAGTGCTGCGCTGGACGGGGCCGAGGCGAGAGCAGCGAAAGTGGCAAGGCAAGACGAGAGCACCGTTTTGCAAAGCCTCGAAATGCAAATCCCTTGTGGGTTAGACACGCCTGGCGAACCCATGCAACAGCCCTGTAATTTCACAAGCCTGCCACGTTTGTGAGGCGGAACAGTGCAAGCCTCAAAGTGTGCACTGAGCATGGCTTCGAGTACGGAACGTGGGCGGGACACAGGCGAGACGCGATTTGGCATGTTTGCGACGAAACCACACGGTTCGGGAGCCCACCCGCCCCAAAACCTCTGCAGGACTTGCCCGCGGAGGCGAGTGCCTGATGCAGCGCTGGCAATCTGGGGGTCCCATAATTAGGTGCGGCGCCTGCTGCTCCAACTCGGCCAGCGGGTTGCTGTGCTCCTGTGGGCGAAGTGTGGCTATCCGCACCTAGATCCTGACTTCTGACTGATTCTTCGAACCTGCAGTAGAAGCGGCTCCTTGTGCGAAGGCGACTCGTCAGCGGGAGTCTGCAAAGACAGCATGAGGGCTGCCTGCACGTTCGGTGTGAGGATGCAGGTCAACCGAAGCTCGGGTCTCACTTTCTGTCGCTGCACGGCCTGGAGCTGCTGCTCTTCCAGCATGCCCAGCCTGTCCTGGAAGCAAAGAAACCCCGATCGGCAGGGTTGTTGCGACTCGCACGCTGTTTTTGCTCCGTGAAGCACTACAGAGTGATATAGCAAGCATGAACCCATGTCCGAAAATCCTGTCCTCGTTGCCTGTTACTTCACAAGGCAGGCTGCTGCTCGGCGCATCGCCAGCATCCGCCATACCACGTAAGCCAGGCTCTGCAGTCTTTCCTTCGTCAAGAGCTCCTCCGACGTTGGCGGCCGCCTTGGTCTCCCCTGTGCTTGCCTCCTCTGCCATGGCCTGAAGCCGACTGTCATCCGCCATGCCCCGCGTCGGCTGGCTGGAAGGCCCTGTGGCTGCACATCCGACGGCAGCGGCTGTGTGGGTGGAAGGCTTTGGTGCTACGGTGGCCTGTGGCAGGAAGGCCGCGTGGCTGGGAGGTCCAGTGCCTGGAGGGTGTCGGGAAACCTGGGTAGTAGCTGGAGCTCCACGATACGATGCGGCGCCGGCGCCGATCGGTTCGATGCTTTCAGCAATGGGCTTAGTCGGTGACGATCCCGACGCAATGTCGAGGTAAGTCAGCTGGCCCTCCTCGCCTGTTACCGCAGAGTCTTGCAAGTGCAGTGCATCGTGAACCGCCTCTTCACAAGGCAGGCTGCTGCCCGGGGCATCGCCAGCATCCTCCACACCACGTAAGCCAGGCTCAGCAGTCTTTCCTTCGTCAAGAGCTGCTCCGACGTTGGCGGCCTCCTTGGTCTCCCCTGTGCTTGCCTCCTCTGCCATGGCCTGAAGCCGACTGTCATCCGCCATGCCCTGCGTCGGCTGGCTGGGAGGCCCTGTGGCTGCATATCCGTGCGGCAGGAAGGCCGCGTGGCTGGGAGGTCCAGTGCCTGGAGGGTCCCGGGTAATCTGGGTGGCTGGAGCTCCACGATACGATGCGGCGCCGGCGCCGACCGGTTCGATGCTTTCAGCGATGGGCTTAGTCGGTGACGATCCCGACGCGATCTCGGGGTAAGTCAGCTGGCCCTCCTCGCCTGTTACCGCAGAGTCTTGCAAGTGCAGTGCATCGTGAACCGCCTCTTCACAAGGCAGGCTGCTGCCCGGGGCATCGCCAGCATCCTCCACACCACGTAAGCCAGGCTCAGCAGTCTTTCCTTCGTCAAGAGCTGCTCCGACGTTGGCGGCCTCCTTGGTCTCCCCTGTGCTTGCCTCCTCTGCCATGGCCTGAAGCCGACTGTCATCCGCCATGCCCTGCGTCGGCTGGCTGGGAGGCCCTGTGGCTGCATATCCGTGTGGCAGGAAGGCCGCGTGGCTGGGAGGTCCAGTGCCTGGAGGGTCCAGTGTAATCTGGGTGGCTGGAGCTCCACGATACGATGCGGCGCCGGCGCCGACCGGTTCGATGCTTTCAGCGATGGGCTTAGTCGGTGACGATCCCGACGCGATCTCGGGGTAAGTCAGCTGGCCCTCCTCGCCTGTTACCGCAGAGTCTTGCAAGTGCAGTGCATCGTGAACCGCCTCTTCACAAGGCAGGCTGCTGCCCGGGGCATCGCCAGCATCCTCCACACCACGTAAGCCAGGCTCAGCAGTCTTTCCTTCGTCAAGAGCTGCTCCGACGTTGGCGGCCTCCTTGGTCTCCCCTGTGCTTGCCTCCTCTGCCATGGCCTGAAGCCGACTGTCATCCGCCATGCCCTGCGTCGGCTGGCTGGGAGGCCCTGTGGCTGCATATCCGTGTGGCAGGAAGGCCGCGTGGCTGGGAGGTCCAGTGCCTGGAGGGTCCAGTGTAATCTGGGTGGCTGGAGCTCCACGATACGATGCGGCGCCGGCGCCGACCGGTTCGATGCTTTCAGCGATGGGCTTAGTCGGTGACGATCCCGACGCGATCTCGGGGTAAGTCAGCTGGCCCTCCTCGCCTGTTACCGCAGAGTCTTGCAAGTGCAGTGCATCGTGAACCGCCTCTTCACAAGGCAGGCTGCTGCCCGGGGCATCGCCAGCATCCTCCACACCACGTAAGCCAGGCTCAGCAGTCTTTCCTTCGTCAAGAGCTGCTCCGACGTTGGCGGCCTCCTTGGTCTCCCCTGTGCTTGCCTCCTCTGCCATGGCCTGAAGCCGACTGTCATCCGCCATGCCCTGCGTCGGCTGGCTGGGAGGCCCTGTGGCTGCATATCCGTGTGGCAGGAAGGCCGCGTGGCTGGGAGGTCCAGTGCCTGGAGGGTCCCGGGTAATCTGGGTGGCTGGAGCTCCACGATACGATGCGGCGTCGATCGCTTCGGTGTTTTCAGGGTGGCCGCAGGGCCCTGCTGGAGATTCGGCGGTGGCTGGTTCCTGTGCCAGGAAGGCCCCGTCACTGGCGGGTCCAGTGGCAGGAGGGTCCTGCACGGTTTGCAAACGCGCCGAGGCTTAAAATCAATGCCGTTGCACGCATTTGCTGCTTAAACTTTCTGGCAATTATGTCGTCCACTGACTCTTCACTGTAAGACAACAAACTACTCAATGTGGATCTCGTCTGGCCCGAACCAGGCACAAAGGACGAACGAAGGGGAAACAAAGAAGCAAAAACAGGAAAACCCCCGGGAAGTATTTAGCTACGCAACAGAACCCTGCCAAAGGGACCCTAGCCTAGCAGCAAGGAGGACGCGAGTGCACAAGCGGCGCACGGGACTTTCTCTTTTAACCCTGAGATGGAGGAGTCACGAGTCTCAAGCAATCTCAACAGCCACAAGTGAGACTCTTGACCGGCCCTGTCAAGAAGAGATCCCTCCTCAAAGCAGGCCAGGGCCGAATCGAAAATCCCCACCCCCCCACATTTTGCAGGGTCGTGGTGGGCGGGAAAAGCAAAATGCTCACACAGGGCTCAGCTAACACACGAGGTGAACCCTCCTGCCACTACAAGCCCTGTAGGAAGAGCCACAAGCTTGCAGCATTGCACGGCACGCTTGACCTTTCGCCTTGCGCCTGCGCAACGCAACAACGCGCAACAGCGCAAACCGCGCAAGACAAACCTTGTTGCAACGCACATACTTCCCACTTAGATACATGCACGCATGCACCTCGCGGGAAGTATTTAGCTACGCAACAGAACCCTGCCAAAGGGACCCTAGCCTAGCAGCAAGGAGGACGCGAGTGCACAAGCGGCGCACGGGACTTTCTCTTTTAACCCTGAGATGGAGGAGTCACGAGTCTCAAGCAATCTCAACAGCCACAAGTGAGACTCTTGACCGGCCCTGTCAAGAAGAGATCCCTCCTCAAAGCAGGCCAGGGCCGAATCGAAAATCCCCACCCCAACCTCAGGCGAAAGAGACCCTGGACGCGACACAACCTGCAAGTACCAGCACGTTAAAACTTAAAACGCCTCGCGCCGTTTTCACTGCCAAGGATCCCGAGCACGCAGGGCCTGTGACTTCGGAAGCTTGCTTGACTGCTTGGCTCTCTTGGCCGCCCGGCAAGATGCAATATCCTTGTACAAGGACATGCCTTCCTCCAGCATCGAACCCAGCACAATGCCTTTGAACTCAGCCAGCTGAAAACGCAAGCGGTTGCCTTCTGCGAATCTGTGGAAGATCGAATTGGTCAACTCGTCTGCTTCAATGTTTTGAAGACGCGGGAGCCAATACAAATCCAGCTCCGCGCTCCTGCGTTGCAGCTGCGCGGCAAGCTCCATTAAGAAGACATTCAATGGAAATTTCGTAGTCAGCAGACGTGCTACAACACGGCTATTGCCTTGGTTATCCGTCGCAGCAGAGCAACGAAAGGTGCCTTCCGCACCTTTCGGGATACCAAAGACAACGACTGCTGCCAGGGTTGCCACCAATTCCAATGCTCCAATCTGGCGGTATGCTTCGCCGGCTGCGTAAAGCCATGGCGCATTACCGTGGCTGAGCTTCTCAGAGAACCAGCGACATTTTCTCGTGTCGGCATAATCAAGGGCCCAGCCTCCTATCCAGATTTCCTCACCCTCTGCACGCGCATCGGTTCGGAAAAGTTCTTGGGCGGTCGTTACATGTCTGCTAACGCACACCAGGCGCCCCTCACCTTGCAGAGCCTTTGCCAGGAATTTGAAGATCAGGACGATGGCCTTCGGGAGCTGATACATGCGGCAGCTATCCATGGAGGCGACCCACGCATACACTGGCCCCAGAAAAGGCCTGAAGTGCCCCAACGCAGTCAAGCCAAAGGACAGCCTCCCAAGAACTGCAGAGACGTCAGCAATCTTCGCCCTGCCAGTGGACACGCTGTCGTCCAGCCAGCGGCAGAGCCATCGGGCGCGCTGCGTAGACAATCCGATCTTTGCACTCCGCAAGCAGATCTCGAAGCCGACCCAAGAAAGGACAGAACCTCCGCTGAACTTTTTCCAAGCAAAGGGAAGCCCCAGCACAACCAGATAGAAGATGACCAGAGGAATCAGCTCCAAACCCTGCTTCTCACGGATTAGCCAGAGCAAGTCATCAACGTAAATCAAAAGCGCCAGCTCCGCTCGGCCAAGCATGTAGTACACAGAGCGGCCTATTCCCGCCATGAGTCGAGCCCAATGATAAGCAGCTGAGCTGATTCCAAAGGTCCCAACTTTGTTGACCCACACTCTATCGGCATCGGGCACTCCGGTGCGGCAGGCCTGCGCGCCCCAATCTCGCTCCGCAATTTTCACAAGCCGGTGTGCTCTCTTGACGTCCCCAATCAACCCGAAGAAGGTGCCCGGGAGCTCACGCAGCAACGTCTGCAACTCGCCAGCGCCGGGGGAACGAATCCGATCCCGGACCTTGATTCGCGCATTCACTCCTACACCATGTGTTCCATCATGCACGACGCGGTGACTGCCATCCTTTTTCTCAATAGCGCCCAGCGAGGCAACTGCTAGATCTCCACCAAACTTCTCTCTGGCCGATTTCAAAGACATCTCTTCCATGGCACCGAGTTTAGCTTCAGCAAGGAACTGCTGTTGCACCACGTCAGCGTGCTGCTTCGCAGAGATGTAATTCTCACGCAAGATCTGGCCTTCTGCTTCATCCTCGTATCGCCTCCACTTGGTTTTCTTCTCGAAAACGGCGGGCACTCGAGGAAGCTTGGACGCATGACCCAATCTCACGCCTTTTGCAAAAGACACGCTGGACGAGAAGAAGGCCCGATAGTCTGGATCTCCAGAAACCCTCAAGATTTCTTCCAAGGCAGCGAGATAGAAAGGCTGCCCTTGTGACTTTTCTCGCACGGGGAGCGCTGCACCGGCGCTTTCCAACGCGCTGAAGACTAGCTCACGCCCCTCAGCTACCAACTCATCACTGAATGGACACGAGGTGATCTTACCATCAGCAAACTTCGCAACCAAGGTGTGTAGATCAAGTCGGCTCCGCAGAAGATCCAGCAAACCTGCACCCATGTGTTCGGCCAGCGCCAGCGTAGGCGTGTCAGCAGCACAGCGTCGACGGTTCGGAGGCCAACGCCCAGGAGAACAAAGTCCGAAACCGTCAGTGAAATCTTGCCGGCGACCCAGGATTCTGCATGACATTGGAGGTCCCCAGCCCCATTGCCCTTCTCCCAGACAAGACTTGTTGACGCCGTCTTCATCAACATCCGAATCGGGGTCATCTTGGACTGGATCCCCACGCCACGCAGCTTCACCAGTTTTCTCCCACTGCCACTCATCTGCAGGCACTGGCTCTGAAAGGGTCGGAGCAAGCTGCGGTTGCGACAGCGGTTGGAGACACGAGGATTGCCCCCCCACTGGAAGCGATGTCGGAGACCGTGCCGGCACAGCTGTGGTCCCTAGTCACTCAACATCCTCAGCCGGTGCGCCGGTGGGCCTTTTCACCAACGGGCACTTAGCGTAGGAGTGGTGCCCAAGACAACGCTGGCACGCGTGCAGGAAGGGACAGTCCTTGCGCGCGCAGCCTTTGGCCTTGTTGAAGGCGTAGCAGAGGCGCTTCCCATCTGAAGACCGCTGATGCTTGCCAACCGTCTTCGTGACGCTGGTGTCCTTGCCTTTTCCGCGACCCTTGCCTAACTTCGCCAACAAGGCATCCACAACGCGTGCATCCAAAGACCCATCCTTGTGGACACCCTCACGCTCCTTCGGCATATCATGGCGCTCCAGGCTGAATGGGATCACGAAGTGGTTGGTCAAAATCTCTGGACACTTGCACGCCGCGGACAAAGCCGCTGCTAGGTCAGGTGCTTCACTGTCACGAATGAGACGATAAGCCTGCTTACGAACCTCGGCCTCATACTTCAAGACCAACGTCCAGGAAGGTCCTTGGCCATCACCCGAGCGAAGCCCGGCCACGCGGCTGCCCAAAACATGATCCGACAAGCGTCGGTAAGCATCCACACACCGGTCTGGAAGCCAAGAGCGTGTAGAATGTCTGGCACGAACCATCTCCCACGCCAAGCCGATTCGCCTGTGGCGCAATCGCAATTCCTCCGGCGTACCAGGAGGAGTGGTTGTAGTCTTGCCCGGTTTGATACGCAGGACCGCCGTGCTCGGGTCGATGATGGCATTGTACGCCTCGCTCTCCGCATCCTCTAGGCTAGTCACATCACGCATATCTTCAGCGCAGGGGGCATTGTCCTCCACCTGCTCAAGCTTCTGCGCAACTAGCGATTTGCTCGGCAACTCCCTGTCTGACAAGCGGCCATGAGGAACCTCCACAGCCGCCTTCATTGACGCGTGCTCGGTGACTTGCACCATGCGAGGCTGGACGCCGCACTTAGCGTCCGAGCGATTCCTTTTTCTTGGCTGCTGAGCTGAGCACGACAAGTTTCCCACACATGGATCAAAAGTGCCATGGAACGGCGCGACTCAGAATCCGCAGTGTAGTCCAAGGGGAGCTCAGTCTTCAAGGCTTCACGGACCGCAGTCCGGGTTTCGTCAATCCCGCTGAAGACGATGAGGTTGTCGTAGCCCTTGCGGTAGACCAGGAGCTGAACAGCACTGGGCACGCCGGCGTGGTCCATCTGGAATTTCAAAGATGACTCCACACGCGCCAGAACCTCTTCGTCGGTGGCGCGGGCAGGCATGGCGGCAGCGAACCTCAGGGGGACAACACGCAAAATCAGCAAAGAACAAACGCAGACACGAAGGCTTGAACCGCACATCCGGCGGATCCATGAACAGGACGCAACGCCTGATCACTGTAATAAGCCGCATGGCCGCAGCACAGTTCCCGCACAGCCATAAAGCTATCGCAAGACACCCGAGCGATATGCAGCACAACAACTATAAAGCATAGTTGCTGTTTACTCACCAGTGCTCCCACCGGATCAGAGGCCCCAGTCGCAAGCCTGCAACACGCCGCAAGAGACAGAACGCCCCTGGAACATGTAAGACAAACGCACGTCCTACAAAACCTAAGCAGCGTCACTGCTCGCACTGCTCGAAGATGATGAGTCATCACCACTCCCTGTGTCAGAAGACGAATCGCCAGGCTTGGCCCCGCGCGGCCAGCAGTGCTTGCAGGCCAGATCATACACCGCGTTCTTCAACGACTGCAAGGGGAGCATTTCAAGAAGATCGGCGGGAACTGTGCCGCAGCCACCTTGTCGGTGAAGACGTCGAAGCCGACGCTTGCCCACAACAGCAATGAAGTAGGCGGGAGCTGGATCCTCCCCGCTCTCCACTGCACGTTCTGCCCCCGCAGACTCGCCCAATGCTGAAACCGGCGGCATCGCAGCAGCGTTTAGCTCGCCTAGCACTGGATCCACATCGGGCAACCTGGAGAGGTCCAAATGCAGACGTTCCCGGAGCTCGACCAGCTCGGCTTGCTCAAAGCCTTGTTCGCTTAGAAAAGCAGAAAGTTCGTTGATGCCGGTACAGCGTAGCTCCTTTTCATCCGGCTGCTTCAAGGCCGACGCAGCGCGGGCTTGCAAACGCATCACCAGTTGGCGCGCCGTGCGCACATACTCATCAGACGCGGACGCCACACTCCAACGTCCAACGAAATCCCTCTGATCCCGCGGCACATCCAGCATGGACAGCAGAGACACCAACCAATTACGCTCTGAATGCTCTGACCAGAATCGCAGCGGCTCTAAAGTCTCAAAGAGCAGGGCCTCGGACAAGGACCATTTGCCATCTTGCCAGCAGGGAAGTCGCAACGACCTCCATAGCGCTTTGGTCATTGCAACCACCTGCGGGTACTCTGCCATAACTTTGCGGGCACCCGCAAAGTCCGCAGTGGGCAAAGGTAGATAGTAGTCGCGAGCAAAAGCCATGGAGTCTGCTTGCCAAATTGCAAAACCGACCGTCAACCAGTCGGGCGAGACAAGGAACGCACGGCGGCTGACAAAAATAGGCAAGTACCGCACGCGTTTGCCAGGGCCAGTGGTCTTCGTGCGCTCCAAGACGCCTTGCAAGCCGTCAGAGGAGAGGACCAAGGAGGAAGGGCTCAAGCCAGTCAAGTCGCCGCTACGACAAGCAGTCCACAACTTCAGCAGTTTATAAAACGCAAACCCACGAGTGTAAAGAGGCAAAGCGTCGTCCAAAACAGCGAGTTCCAAGCTCGCAATCATTGCTACCAGAAGCAAAGGCGCTTTGCGCTTGGGGGGCGCACCACTTTCAAGCTCCATGACAAACTGGTTCACAGTGTTCCGGACAACCGTATGCGTTGAGAATCTCGCTTGCTCAGGAACACCACCGGCCTTCTCCATGAAGGCGAGGCATTTGAGGATAGCAGTAGGAACTGAGCGGGCGCAGGGTTCAAGCCGCTGCTCGTGCAGATAGTCGAGCACGAGACCCACATGCTTTGGCCATGGACTCGACGACACAGCTAGGAAATACGCGCGGGCTCGCCTCCACTCGCGCACACGGCTGCGGATGGTGGACGCACGAGCAGCCCCCACGGCAGCAGAAATAGTCGCCTCCGGATCCTTGGACAGGTTTGCTTGATCACAAACAGGCAGCTTGGCCGCCTGGATGAGGGTGACCAGTTCACCACGCCAACGAAGCAGTTCTTGTTGCTCAACGTCGCATCTCTGTAGGTTGGACTTGGCGCCGGCCAGCTGTTTGGCACGACGCGAAGGCCATGCGCAAGCCCGTCGCACAGCCCCCGACTGCTTCTGCAACCATTGCCTTGTTGGCGCGGGGAGCTTGGGAGGGCCAACACGAGGCTTCTTCCGTAGCAACTCCAGCAGCTGTCGCTCAGCCGGGATGATCGCGCAACGCTTCTCAAGGCGTTGAGCTTGGGGGAGAGCACGGTCACGCAACACACAAAGCGCGGACACGCAGGCAGTCTTGGACCGCTGGTCTACCATGAAACCGTCCAGCATCTGTGAAAGATCAGTGTCATCGTCGAAAAGGTACGCCAGCACTTCGCAGGGAGGCAGATCTCCTGCACTGCCGCCATACGCTGAACGAAATGGCGCCGGCAGAGTGGCCCACAGCGCTTTATCTGAACTGTCTTCCCCAGCAGACTCCGAGCTGCACTTGGTGTCAGAGTCGCTCATGGCGGGAAAAGCAAAATGCTCACACAGGGCTCAGCTAACACACGAGGTGAACCCTCCTGCCACTACAAGCCCTGTAGGAAGAGCCACAAGCTTGCAGCATTGCACGGCACGCTTGACCTTTCACCTTGCGCCTGCGCAACGCAACAACGCGCAACAGCGCAAACCGCGCAAGACAAACCTTGTTGCAACGCACATACTTCCCACTTAGATACATGCACGCATGCACCTCGCGGGCTTGGGGAGTCGGCCGGGAAAGCTACACAGAGGCAAGTTCCAACTCCACCTGCCTTCTGCAACCAAGTGAGAGAAGGCTTCCGGCAAACCCCCACACCAACCCCACAGTGTCCTGCGAGCCCGAAACTATTAGACCTCATCCGCATCTCATATGAAGACTAAGAGCAAAGGAAAAGGGAGACAAGCTTGAGCCCACCCCCTGCCCTCCACCAACACATGAAAAAAACAGAGATCCGAAACTGTGGCATTCGACGCCCACACCGACCCTCACCTGAAGAGAGAGAGGTACACATGAAGAGAGAGCTGGCGTGTTAGGGCGTGTGGACCACAGCTACACAGCGAACCATGCTTCAGCGAAGCTAGAAGCGCGGCTCCTCGAGCGAAGGCGACTCGGCAGCAGCAGTCTTCGCCAAAGACCGGCTGAGGGCCACCTGCACGTGTGGTGCGAGAATGCTGGCCACTTGAAGCTCTGGTCTCTGCACGGCCTGGAGCTGCTGCTCTTCCAGCGTGTCCAGCCTGTCCTGGAAGCAGAAAGAGCCCGATTAGCACGATGCCACGATGCTCGACCGAACTACTGCTATTTTATTCGCCGATTTGCAACGACATTTGCATGTGTATAGTCAACTGTGTGCCGTCCTGCTGGTGGACATCAGGCACGTCGGCCACACCGGCGCGGATGTCGGGAGCCCCGATGACTTGAGAAAGCTTGGCATGAACAAAAGCCGTGTAGCCTCCCTGGGGCTGGGTGTCCGTGACAGCACCTCCTTCGACGTAGCTCCGAACCAGGAGCGCATAACTCTTGAAGAGTGGTGCGAACTGCGATAAAATGTACTTGCCACGGTCGAGCATCTGGCTGTCCACAGTGAGCACATTTGTGGGAGACTTGCTTGGGCCAGCCTTCTTGATGCACGCCGCCATTTCCTGGACGACCTCAGGGAGGCACTCGCTCATCTGATCCAGCATCTCACCCTCAGGGTGTCCTTGCCAAAACGCAAAGCTGGGATGGGCAGGCTTGGGCAGAAGGCGAAGCTTCGGCTGGAGAGTGCCGTCAGCTGCAAGGCAGTGTTGCTTGACCTTGTTGACGCGGCGGCCCATAGTGCGCCAGGCACCCTCTACATTTGCATCAGGTCCATCATACAGACGCAGGAACCGCGGTGGCAAGTAGAAGTCATTGATTCGGCTGTACTCTGTCTCCTCCATGCCTCAGCAAGCCAAACGTCTTCTTTGCGAGGCAACAAGGAAAACAAAACGCATGTTTGGCCCATGCTTGTGACAACGTGTTGACCAAGGTGCTTTGGTTGTTGCCGATGCCCAAGTTGAAGAACGAGCAAGTGATGCTCGCATCGTGCCCAAACAGCTGGACAGGGTACGCAATCTTCATCTTCTCACTCTCCGGATCGATGAAATAGACGTGCGCATCCAAAGAATCAAAATCGTCCGATGTGCTTTTGCATGCTTCGGAGGCAAACTGCACTGCTGTTTCCAAATAGCCATGACCCTCCTTCGGTTTCATGATGTATCCCACCAGCACGTGGTTCCCGTTCCTCGGACACACATCACAAAGGCGCGACAGTTTGAACTAGCGATGAAGATCAAGCGGGTGAGTGCTTGCCTTGCCTTACAAGCTGAGTTTCTCAATCAGGTTGGCCTCATCAAAGTATAAATCTCCATACTGGCTGTAATAGTCGCTCGCCTGGCAGTCACTTCGGCTCGCCTGACAAATGCTTCACAGTATTTCGCGCTGTGGATATGCATGGACACGCGGCATCACAAGAGCCATGACCATCATGACCCCAGAGAGGCTTGTCTCCCTTCTCGTCCCCGGCCAAGTTACTTTGCTTCCTTTGCGTTCATCCTGGATGCAGGCACTGAACAGTTCCGCAGGCGAAGCCAGTTGTCGTGCCAGCTCATTGACTCTACTTATGCCTACTGCTTCCGGTAGGACCTACTACTCTTCAGAATTGCACTTCTGCCGAGCTTGTCAGCGTGCCAATTTGAGAAAACAAAAGGGCACTGTTCGGGAAAGTGCCTGCTTAAGATACTCCGCTCCATCAGTTTGTCCACGGAAGACCCAATCACAGACCCGACATCTCTGGACAATGGGAAAGTGAAGTAGCGGGACCAGATAGATTGCGAAGGGAGTCGGGAACATCAAAGGGAGCAACTCCACACATTGGGCCGCACACGACACCTTCTTAGCAACGCGTGTCGCATGCAGATCCGCCCATCGCCGACGGGGCAACCGTCCTTCAGCTGACTGTCCCTGGAATCACTTCTGGGATCCTGAGGGCACTTCGAATCTTCGAGGCAGGGTCTGGCAACAAAGCTGCAGCAAGATCTGCCCGGTCCTCTGCCACTTGCGACAACCAATCGGCTTGATCCTCGCACGACCGCTTCTTCAAGTCAGTTACAGGAGTAAGCTACCCAACAAGTCCTGCAGGAGGCTCTGCGTCAGTACCAAGTTCTGCGGAGCTCTAGCATTCTCTGGAGATGCATCAGGATTTGTTCCAGGGGGGCACGGCTCCGCGTCGCTGCAGATAATGTAGTGCTCGGGGACTTGGTCAGGCACCGTCAACCGCGGTTGGTCATCTGGCTGATCATGAACTGGCACCGATGCTTGTAGCCGGGAGTTGCCTCTAGTACTTCACACTATCAGCACCGCGACGTGTCGAACACGAAATGCTGCATTTTACAGCAATTGGTGCTGTCGAACGCTTCGAGATGCTCTTGTCAACGGCATTTTGGCGTGCTCGTGCTCGAACATCTCGGAACCCCCCCGGCGATGAAAAAGCAACTCCCGATGCAACACACCACACGAACACATCGGATCACGTCGGGTGTACTTGTTTGGGGTGCAGGGTTGGAGCGCGTGCTCCACTCGCGTTAGCGAACAGCATCTCCGACGGCTGCAATGACAATCTACTGGGCACATGTCAAGGTCGACAACTCCGAACGCTGTGAATTAATGTCGTATCCTGATTAGTCTGGACCCCTCCAATAATGAAAAGTTTCCCAAAAATTATTCAGGAGACAAAAATTCGATTGCCCCCCCACAATAAGGTAAAGTTTTTCGGGCATGGGTTTCGGAAGAGAGAAAAAAGAGAACAAGATGATGAAAGAAAAGAGCAAAAGAAGAGCAGCTTCAAGTCGGAGTTCTGAGCTGTCATCCCCAGAGGAAGAGGAGAGGGAAGAGGAGCGAAGAGGAAATGAAGAGGAGCCGGTGGGGGGGGCCCGGGGCCGAAAATTAGTTTGGGGGGGTCCCTTTTTTTGGTGACACTATTGCGGGGGTGGATTTAGTTTGGGGGGGGGGGGGCCCCCACACTAATCAGGATACCACATTACATCTTTTCGGGAAGTTCTACAGCTGTCGCTCAAAGTCTTGCATTTCGAGATGTTCTACAGCTTCAACTGCTGCAACCTGTGACATTTCCTGGTGTTTCGGCGACCAACACGAACAATTGCTGCACTGCGAGAGATTACAAACTATACGTAGTATAGCCTGTTGTCCGGCCGCCTCCGAAACCGTCAATTGGAGCACTTGGAGGTGATCAGCAGCTCCACACAGGCAAATTGCAGCAGCCCATCCCCCTTTCTTTAACATTCTTTAACAGAGTTCATCCAGGCATGGCATGTTGATTGCACGCGTAGCCGAACAGTTTGGCCTTTAGAGGTGCCCCCTCTTTTGCAACACTCAACACGCGCTGTCTTCAAACAAGTGATCGCCGAAACAGCGCGGTTGCTTCTTGTTTCTACCTGGTGGGATGTTGCCTGCTCGCTTTTGCTTGTTGCCCGTGGGCCGGCTGGTCTTGCCCGAACGACCCCCGGCCCGGGGACCTGGGTAAGATGCTGAGATACAAGGCTTTTGGGACACAACATTTGGGAGCACCCTCTGTTGGCGAAGAAAGTGCTGGGAGGACACTGAGATGTGCTGAGATCTGGTTAAGTTTAAACCCTACGCCCTAAGCCTCAACAAAAAAAAAAAAAAAAAAAAAAAAAACGGGTCGGAGGCACAGGTGTCGGCCATGCTGAGTGTGGAGGGCTCGGAGCCATCTCGGTCAATCTCGCTGGAGATGTCGAAGAATTCGGCGGCTGTGTCGTGCCCGCTGTCTCCATCGAAGCTTCGTTCGGCCTGTCATGCTAGGACCAGCGGATCAGACAATGCATGCCCGGCGCTATTGCACAAGAGCACCGGTCAATGACTAAGACCAATGCCTCCGGCCGCTCCTCTGTGGCAACGAAACTACGGTTGGCCTGAGTTCTGCTTGGAAAGTACCCGCGCAGCATTAACCGCAAAACCGAAAGCGCCAGACCTCATCCTGCGATTCTGAAGCTGCTGCGATTGGCGACAGATTCTGGAAATCCTGCTGGCGGTTCAGGGACAAGTTCTCCCGCGCCCTATGCCGACCATCGTTTCTGTGCAGTGGCTCAAAAGCACATTCTCTCCCGGCATAGCCTAGCGGCAAATGTTTCTTGCGGTTTGGTGTTCCGTGTTTGACTGTTTCCACAAAGAACAACAAAGTTTCTCTTTGGCATCGTAAATCGGAACATGCAAAAAGAACTTCGTTTAACAACAACCACATAACCTGTGACTTAAAGTACTGCGGGCCCCTGGCCGAGTGAGTGAATCTTTACCTGAGAAAGCCCTTGGAAACTTCGAGCCCCCATGTAGACCGCTGAGACGAAGCCTGTGCAGCCCAGCGCCAGCCCGTCAGAGGGTCCCGCCAGCGAGGCCCGCCAAGCGTGATACTTTGCAACCCGGTATAGCCCTTGAAAGCTTCGATCTGCGCGTAGCGTGATTTGACAGTGATTCGGCGTGTGAGGCCGAAAACCCGGCAGCAGGGCCCGCCACCCATGAGACGACCAGTGAGATGAGGCTTGGACCTTTTCGGCGAGGCGCCTCAACAGTGAAAGATGTCATCGGGTAAACGGGACCTGCCCGTGGTGCCCACCAACATCGACGCCTTAACCGAAAAGCAAGCCTCAAGCTGCACTCCCCATTGTATAAGAGGTCGCATAAAACAGGCTTCATGCTTGGGGCAGGGCAGGGCCTGCTGGCGGGGGCCCTTCCAAGGCTTGTCAACAACGGTTTCACGGCAGGCATGCCCCCCCCCCCCCCCCCCCCCCCCCCCCCCCCCCCCCCCCCCCCGAGTTTTGTGAAATCACACGGGTTTGCGCAAAAGCAGCTTAAGCGCTACACCGGGCTTTACCCAGTAAAGGCGGCTGTGGCCGGGCCGCTGACAAGCTTCGGCTGCACAACGCCCCATCTCACTTCACCCGTTGGGCCGGCCCTCTGGCAGAACTTGGGGCTTTGGCCGCACAAGCTCCACTCTTGCTGGTCTACAGAAGGGGCTCGAAGTTTAAGAGTTCACCCGGCAAAGGCATAAAAGGGGTTCGAAGCTCAGCGCCTTCCCAGAAATGTTTCAGATTGGCGAACCACGCTGCCGGGTTCTGCCTGCGAGAACCGGAATCTCCCTGCGTGAACGATCAAGCCTGCAAAGGCATTCCGGTACAGTTGCCCGCCTAACTGTCCCTGATACGGCTGCCCGCCTGAGACTCCCTGGCCTGCTTATTCGACTCACATTCTGATACGGTTGCGCACCTGTTGCCCTGAATGTGGTACGGCCCACATGACGCATGCCACTTTGTGCGAGTTCAAACAACAACCCCGCGTGGGGAAGGAGGAAACCCAGCAACTCCGCGACCAAGCATGGTCAGCTTCTGAAAGCGGGAGACAAGCCTCTTGCAACTTCGCCGAAGTTCGCAAAGCCAAAGGAGAAAAATTGGCAAACAAGCTTCCGAAAACCCGGATGCAGCCGCACCAACCGCATCAAGGGACAAAGGAAGGCAAAGGGCAACAAGCCTTCGAATTCCCCCTCCCCCGCACGGACAAAGACAAAGATGCGGCAAAACCCCGTTCTATGGAGGCAAGGAGTCCAGCCGGTGCCTGCTCCTCCAATCTTTCTCTTTGTTTCCAGATGCCGCACTCCTGCGGGCGAAGTGTGGCGCTCCTGCCTCCTAACTTGCTTCAGAAAATCGCAAAGCCCGGCTCCTCGAGCGAAGGCGACGCGTCAGCGGCAATCTGCAAAGACTGCATGGGGGCCGCCTGCACGTTTGATGCGAATGCTGCATTCTGCCGATGCTCCGCTCTCGCAACGTGCCGTGCACGGCCTGGAGCTGCTGTTGCTCTTCCAGCATGCCCAGACTGTCCTGGAAGCAGAACACCACGTCACACGGTGAAGAAATGTCTAAGGCAGGTATTTGTACATCAGAGATTTGATGGCTTGAACGTGGTGGCACCACCTAACCAACCTGAATCCATGTCCGAAAAACCGTCTCCCAGAACAAGGGCACCGAGAACTTGGCTGCAGGATGTCCTCGATGCTTGCGACCACGGAGTCTTGCAAGTGCAGTGCATCATGAGCCGCTTCTTCGCGAGGCGGGCTGCTGTCTGGGGAATCGCCAGCATCCGCCAAAGACTCAGCAGCCTTTCCTTCGTCACGAGCTCCTTGGACGTTGGCGGCCGCCTCGGTCTCCCCCGCGCTTGCCTCGAGTGAAGCCTCCCCGGCATCCTCACCTTTGCCATGTACATCGTCACCACATATTTTGTCACCCGCTTGGCCCTCTGCGTCATCCACCACCATGTCATGCGATGGACTAGCCTCGTCCTCCTCAGCAGAGTCGTCCTCTCCACTGTATTCTGAGCTTTCAGCATCACTTGCACAACTCAGCTCCGCCTCACTGCCCTCTGCATCAGCATACTCATCAGCTGAGCCTTCTGATGAACACTCTTCTGAGTACTCATCCTCTTCTCCTTCTTCCTCCTCAGAGGAAGCACTTTCACCCTCGTCCTCTGATCCAGACTCCTCTGAATATTCATCCTCATCAGCGCCTGCACCGCCCCTGGAAACATCCACATGTGGAGCATCCTTGAGGTCAGTGTCTGGCGCATCCACCTGCTGCGCCTGTCCTGATTCCTCTTGGTTTTGATCATCATGACCATGATTTTTCGGAGCCGTGTCATCAGCTGGCGTTCTCGTCATCGGCTCGCTGGACAATAAGCTCATGTGCGGATGGTCTGGGCCAATCAGGAAGTTTGAGTCAGGGCTTTCGTCCACCCCACATCCATCGAAACAGCATTCCGCCACCTCCACTCTCAATCTGCGTCTTTCGAGTGCATCTGCCAGCAAGGCTAGGAAAGCAGGAGTTGAGCCACGAGACTCCATGCCATCTCTCGAAGTCAGTATCAGTGTAAGTCAGTCCTACGATCTATTTTAAATCTCCAAATTAAGTTAAACTAGGCTAAGCTAAGTCAAGCTAAGCTAAACTACGTTAAACGAAGTGAAACTAAGCATGCATTTGCTGCGTGGGCAGTGCTGCGCTGGCAAAGAGTGCTTCCAAGCTACTTTGGCGACCTAGTTCAAGATTGACTTTGGAACGCTTGAGTGACAGACAGACAGCATCAGGGTCTGAAGAAACAAACTTTCCAATCATGGCGAGGCATGCTCGTGGCTTTCTCGATTGAATGCCACGCACTCGGCTTTTTACATCATTTCAGCCAGTTCGCTCCATTTCCCTGCCAATCGCCATCCGTAGATCTCGTGGAATGATTGGACCACCGTGATGCCCTGGCAGCTGTCTCCTGCTCATTAGTTCATCTGACCGCCATCTACTGGCAAGTGATGTGTGACCAAGTCCAGAATCAAATCTCGGCCTGGAACACGAGTTACGAGTTGTAAAAGCCCTCGCACATTCTTGTACCCTTCGACCATCCTGAAGGTTCCTCAGAAACATACGGGTTGCGCAACTAAGCCGCAGGTTCTCTCAACAAGAGCACTGTGGCGCCCACTCCATCTCAGAACGCATGTTCTTTCAAACGGGGATGCAGGAGCAGAGTCGCCTGAACAGGTTCGAAAGAAACCGCTGCAAACGCGAGCCCTAGTTAAAAAGGCCAAGGAGTCTGCGATGTGGCGGCATTGCTAGCAGTGCAAATGGGAATTGCATCGTCCTGTGCGGGCAGGCCAGAGTGGGGAGATGCAGGCAAATGCAAGCTTTGTGGGAGCTTCGAGAGATCAGCACGGCTGCAAACGAAAGCCCATCAAACTTTTTACTCAGCCTTGTTAATCTTCAATGCCGATGCACGTCACTAGTGGCCCGCCAGGAACCAGTCTCTAACCTCGGACAAGAACCGGATTGCATCGTTTGCATACGGGGAGTCGGAGATGTCTGGATGATGCCTCAACACGAAGGAGCGGAAGATTGTACGGCGCTGCGAGATGGGCTGCCAACGAAGGCTCCGTAGTTCCGCTTCGATGGCATGGGTGAGCTCAGCTGCATCGGGATCGTCGGGGTGCGTGAACATGGAGGCCGGAGCTTCCGCAGGCTGCCACAGAAAGAAGGCTTCTTTCAGTAGCTGCTGTCGCTGGAGGCTCAGCTTCCCTCGACGCTGCTTCGTGCGCTGTTCCAGCACCCACTCACCAAGCTTGAAGCCGGAGCTTGTGACGTAGAAGGCGGGAACCGTCCGCTTTCGGTGCTGGGCAACATACACGCGAAGTTCCGACAGGCCCTTCGCAAATGTTTCTGAGTCCGGATCTAGCATTACTCCGAGACCTTTCAAACGTGCAACCTTGTGGCCCTTCAATGCTCCGCTTTCCCACTGCTCACGTTGCTGCTGAACCCATGATCCCAATTCATGCCCAAACTGTGTGGCAAGGAAGCGGACATTGACATTGTTGTGCCGATCTTGGTAAGCCAACAGTCGCCCCAGCCACATATCCCACGGGTCACCCAGGCTTTCCACACCGCGAGCAATGGCAACCTCAGCCTCCTTCCGCGCATTGCCTTTGTTAACGCGGCTTCGGAGATCGAAATGCAGCTCATCCCACTTGAGGCGCCGATCCTTCCGACCGAACTCCACAGAGGTCCGCTGCAGCGCCTCCTCAGCTCGCTGGTCTTCGATGGCAAAGGCCATCCACACCGCGGAGGCATGGTTCTTCGCCGCTCCAGCCACGATGATGGAGCCCTTCTTTTTGCCGGCTTGCCATCGAGCCAAGCGTGGGAACTCCTGCGCCAGGTTAACATAGTTGGGGGCGCTTCCTGCCACAAGGATTGCATCGATGGATGGTTCCAGCTGGGTACCAGTTGTCACAGTGCACTCACCACCCGTCTCAGCTGCAAGCAGGCTTGCGAGTGCTGCAGTCAGTCGAGGCTGATCTGGGACGACATGTATCGACTTTATCCCCATTTGGGAATGCAACTCTGCAAGTTCTCGTGCAACGTCTGTCGCGTTTGTGGAACGGATTATTTGCAGTCCGATGGGCACTGTTAAGTGGCGCTGCTCAGCATCCTCATTGCTCAAGCGATACACTTCGGGGCCAAACTTGCTGTGCGACGCCTCTTCGGGAAAGCCGGGTTCTTGGCCAGGAGCCAACAAAGCACCAGGAGCCATTCCAAAAAGATGGCGACTTGAGAGGAACACTCGTCGTCGCGCAGGAATGAGGTCATCGCGAGCGCCCAGTGCATGGAAGCCGCCAGCACGCATGACGTGAGCAGTTGCAAAGATCATGATGTCAAGAGGCTGCTTGATCTTGGACTCCAACATGCCCAGACCCAGCTTCATCATGGATGCATAGGGGCAAAGCAGAACCAGAGAAGATTTCTGCTTGAGGCTTTGGATGACCTCCCGCTTCGTCAACGAGCGGTCTGATAAATCGAGCACCGTGACGTCGGCAAACTGCTCTGAATAGAGCTGCTGTGCTTGCCTGATCAAAGAGTTGGGAAGGGCAACAGCTGCACGAAAGAAAGACAAGCTCTCCGTGTCGACGAACCGGGTCAAAATCCTCAGACTAATCTGGAGCTCGCCAGCCCCACTGGGCATCAAGATAGTTGATGCGTTCGCTTCTCTCAAAGCAGTGGTGGCCGCCTCTGCTGCTTGTTCCCAGACCTGCGCGTGCAGCGCATCACTCTGGGGAGCATTTTCTTCGCTGCGGGTGCTCTCGAGTACTGTCCCGGTCAAAGTCCCCAGCCGTCTCGTCTGGCAGACTCCGCATGCGCGCGGATGTTTCAAGAAACCGACCCTCAAGCTGGCACCAACAAATGTGGTGTGTATCCGGCACAAGGAGATGGCTGCAATTACTGCCACCCAAACTTGCTGTCGCCATCTTGCGTGTGCCGCTGCCCGGCATTGCGCTTGAGACATCACAGCCTATGTGCTTTACCCACTGCGGTTGGTTGACTAGGCATGTTTCAGGCTCGTTCGAGAACCACCACATTCCTGATACTTTTTGCGTTGCCTTCCCCAACTGCTGTACGCTGAATGAAACTGGTGCACAAACAACGACTCTCTTAACTTTTTAACACATCTTCAACAGTCGCTTAGTCCCAACATGTCCCAACAAAGCACCAACATGAATGCATCTTGCCTGGGATGCAAAGGTTTGGGCCACTGTGTGCTGCATGGACATTTGGGAGGCAACCAGCAGCAACCATGATTTCGGCACAACTCTTGGTACTTAATGATTGTGTTGATTGCTGTAACGATTGTTGCTGTAGTTTTTTGCGCGACGACAAATACGACAAATGCTACAAAAGGCTGCAATCTCACGAGGCGAGGCTACGCAACGTCTGCGATGCGCCACAAACAAAAGCACACGCATGTCGCGATGGCCATGAGGTTGACGCCGATAAGGTGGAAAGAAGCACGCTGCTGAACTGCGCACCTTTACTCAAGAGTACCTCAGCGCACCGGAGCTTTCAAGCACCAAACCTTTGCAGTTAAAACTTGGTGCTGCTGGCTCTAGGGCTTGTAGCGGGCAGCTTGAATTCCCACAAAGGTGCTGGAAATGATGCCCACAATATGTCAAAGATCGGGATGAGATCTCAGCATGTTGGGACCCAACGTGGGGGTTCCAAGATTCTTCACCCCCTGCCGCTAGCCCAAGCTACGCCCCCAAGTCAGCTTCAGAGAGGCTGCCCTTTCTGCTGCTCAATGATTCCATCTTCTTTGTCCCTTCTGGTCCATGTCCATGCTTGCATCACTTCTCAGTCAATCTTCAACCCATCATACCGGTTTCTTCATTCCATGTAAGTCTTCCCTGCGTACTCCTTTCAACTACAAGTAAATTGCCTCTCAAAAAGTCCGTGTCCACATTCGTTCTGAATCCTCCGGCTACTGTCCCCATCCCCGATGCACAAATGTAAAAAAGGAGCGCCGTGCCGTCAACAGAAGCCAGTTGCATTCTGCATTCCCCTGGTTCTTAGAGTGGAGTTGCACCAGAGCGACGACCTTTTGACAACTCTTGTTCGACACGCGGCAGCAACAAGTTACCAAGGCCAAACCCGAGAATTGCACGACTGATTGCATGATGCTCGGCGCGACTGTTCGACGCGCGGTAGCTACGGCATCCCCTCTCCTTTCATTTGCTCTTTCTGCATTCCACTGTGAGCAAGGCCTACTGGCTCGAACCCGCAGACAACAGATTACTTCAAGAAAACCCGTCCGTGACCAAGCACTGCTTGCCGGTGTCTTTGTTGACATCATGAACATAGCAGGGGATCTCCTGCGCACGTGCGATCGCTAGGCAAACTTAACACGCGCTAGCGACCACCTCAACTCTCATCCGCATCGTTGAGCTACGCAGCTACAATTACAAGATATTACAAGTCAGTCCTTCCCAACCTGGTGCCCGCAGCCTCTACAAGCGAAGGGAACTTGTCATGCACAAATCTCGCAGAAGTCAGCTGTTGCAGCGTTTTGATGCGTGCCTTCCTCACAAGGAAAGAAGCGTTTCAGAGTGGCCTCCCGGGGATTGCTGTACCCAATGACTTAACAGAGGCATCGAGGCGCTAACTGGGGTCCATGCGCAGTCGTTGATGAACTCCAACTCCAAATCTGCACAGTGCCTAGGAAAGTTCAGTGTTCTGAAACGAGCAGGCAGCGGATAGCAGTAGATAAGAGTGTTGTAGAGGTATAATTTTTCAGCTATGTCACATCGGCCCCTGGTCAGAATCTGCAGCAACACCCCGTCACCGGGCGCTCTGGCATTCCAATCCGCGTGCACATGTTGGAGCAGGACTCCCCAGGCTGAGCCTTGCGACAAGCAAAAAGTGCCCCCTGAGCGCGCCCTTCCATGCACATTCTCATGATTTAACGTACATTAAACCCTTATCTCCAACTTCTTTCCATCCCTTTCCCTGTCCATGCCCCCTCTCTTAGTGGCTCGAGCACGCGCCTTCTCGATGCGGCGCAAAGGATGAGGCTCGGCACATTCGGAGTCAGGAAGCAACCCCTGGCCTGGGCTCAGACTTCGAAACACAAGTGTGTCACAAACAGCCCAATACATACATACATACATATATATATATATATATATATATATATATTATGTATAGTATATATATACTATAATATATATATATATACTATATAATATAATATATATATACTATAATATATATATATATATATATAATATATTCCCAAAACAAAAAGAAGGCATCCTCCCTCGGAAGCCCGGCTCTTGGTGCGGTCGGCCAGGTAGACCCGGGCGCCGCTGACGGGGTCCCTGAAAGGGGGGGACTCCTCCCCCGTTTTAGCAGCAGCTCTCCCTCCTTCTTCTCTCGCAGCATTTGGTGGTGGAGATGCACTGATGTTGTTATATGCATGTTTTTGTCCAGCTGATGAAAAACGGGTTTTAGGGTTTTAGGGGTTTTAGGGTTTTAGGTTTAGGGTTTTAGGGTTTTAGGGTTTTTTTGAGGCCTCGTTGAGATCACGCCACGGTGCGCTGCTCGAGGCTGGGCCTGCGACAACCGTCACTGCCGCATCACGGCTTCAAAGCCTGCTTGCCATGCCTCGGTTAGCTGCAACTTCTGGGCAAGCTGCTTGTAGTCCCGACCTTTGTCACAAAAGGGGTATGAGTAGCTTCAAGGGAAGCGTTGGGCATAGTACACATCAACAGTAGCTGCGGTGGGCACGGAAATAGGGCAGCACGTAGGCCTCCGCACCAGCTGCCAAGACAAAGCGCAGAAGCGCTCTTAAAAGACCGACTCTTGAAGGTACCGGCAGAGAGATTGCAAGAAAAAGTTGGCAGATACTCCCAGTGCTACCGATGCCACCGCTACATCGCTAGATGACACCAGCATTCGCACTTCCGAAGTTTGCAAGCTGCTTGGCAACTCGGCGACATTAGTTTCAGCTTCAGCCTTCCTGTTTGTTCCTTTACACTCTTCGCTGCATTCCTGGAGTCTCCAAAATCACCACAGATACGGCATTCCGAAAATGCATCTTTCGCAGGACGCCTTCTCGCAGGCCCAGAGCTTAACATCTAGGTTTTCGGAAAGGCTACCTCCTGGGTTTTGCTTCTGCCACCCCCCCAGCACTCGCGCGCCCTGCAGGGCCCTTGCGGCCTGGTGGTTCCCCTTGGGGTGGACCAACTTCATGCCCACGTGAGAACGGATTCGGGAACTGAGTGATACATATGGTTCTCTCCCCACGCTACTCTACAGCAGGGCTTCCTGGCAGGCTCTCCCATGACAGCGAGGGACAACATGGGGAAACACAGGAATCCGCACTACAACAACCGACTAATCAGGGGTACTGGGCTTCTAGGAGACTACTCTGTCTGGGCGTGGGTTAAGGTTCAGAGGTAGTCGACCCCAACATCTACTTCTCTCCATGCTCAACGATGGCGACAATGGCTGACTTTTGGGGGTCTGAGTTGAATTAGCGCATGCAGTGCATGCAGCTTTCCAGCATGCAGCTACATCCCGGAAGGACACATTTCTAAGGGCTTAGGGGACGGTGAATTAGGGTCAACGACGCCGCGGAGACTATTCAGCCTGGGCGTCGGGAAGGCGTTCGGCTCTAAAGCCTCATTGCGGGTCTTAAGCCACATTGCTGGCATCCTGCTATCGGCCTTTGGTCTTCAGCCTTGTGAGGTCATTCGCTCGCCGTTGTGCGTCTCCCACACCATGCAACGAAGCTTATGTTCTGTTCGCCTGTGGGCGATGACATTCTGAAAAAGCCAAGGCCTGCTTGGGAGCCAAAGCTGTGAGCCGGTCTGGACGGATCACCTCTGCCTCTTGTGCAAAAAAAGTCAATGAAGCGCTGCACAGAGTCTCTCGGAACGGCAAGGCTGCACCACTGCAATGCCCAATGCTGGGCCTGGCGAAGGCGCTGGCGCAACTCGGCCTGGCATGTGCAGGGCAGGAGCAACCCAAGGCCTTTATGCGTCCGTGTCCACGTCCACGTCTATGTCCGTGCGTCTGTGCGTCTCTGTGTGTCTCCGTCTGTGTGGTTCTGCGTCTCTGTGTGTGTGGGGGGGGCGCAACACCTGGACAATTTCATATGAGCGGGGGACCAGGAGAGGTGTGGAGGGGTCCTGGTCAACAAAGACCTCCCTCCCCAACCCCAGGCAAAAGCATCGTCTGCTCAACGGGCTGCGTTTAGCAGCTTAGAAGACCTCATTTCGTTCATCTTTCCTCTCACGTCGTGCGGCATCATCTCGTGACACAACCATGTCCTCACGAGCTCATGTCAAGCCAAACGAGAGAGACAGAGACAAAGAGAGAGAGTGTGGCTGTGTGGCTGTGTGGCTGTGTGGCTGTGGGGCTGTGGGGCTGTGGGGCTGTGGGGCTGTGGGGCTGTGGGGCTATGGGGCTGTAGGGCTGTGTGGCTGTGTGGCTGTGTGGCTGTGTGGCTGTGTGGTTGTGTGGCTGTGTGGCTGTGTGGGTGTGTGGATGTGTGTGTGTGTGTTCATATATATAATATATAATATAATATAATATAATATAATATAATATAATATAATATAATATAATATAATATAATATAATATAATATAATATAATATAATATAATATAATGTAATGTAATGTAATATAATATAATATAATATAATATAATATAATATAATATATATATGTGTGTGTGTGCGTATATGAGTCGGCGTCAAAATCACTTGTTTAAGCCTTGCTTGGTTTTGCATTTGCGCGTCCCCTATCGCACCTACCGGAGTTTTATCCTATCGTATCAAATAACCCTATCATTTTAGCGTGCCCCCTATCGATCCTCGGCGTTTTGCTGCAACAACTAACCCCTCTACTAAAATAAGGAAGCGGTAATCTTGACCGCGTCTCATATACATACCTACCTACCTACCTACCTACCTACCTACCTACATACATACATACATACACGTGTGTGTGTGTGTGTGTGTGTGTGTGTGTGTGTGTGTTTTGTGTTGTGCGTTGTGCGTTGTATGTTGTGCGTTGTGCGTTGTATGTTGTGCGTTGTGTGTTGTATGTTGTATGTTGTATGTTGTGTGTTGTGTGTTGTGTGTTGTGTGTTGTGTGTTGTGTGTTGTGTGTTGTGTGTTGTGTGTTGTGTGTTGTGTGTGTGTGTGTGGTGTGTTGTGTGTTGTGTGTTGTGGGTTTTGGGTTGTGGGTTGTGGGTTGTGTGTTGTGTGTTGTGTGTTGTGTGTTGTGTGTTGCGTGTTGCGTGTTTGTTGTGTTGTGTAGTTTGTGTTGTTGTGTGAGTGTGTGTGTGTGTATGTGATGTGTGTGGGTGGTGTATGTGTGGGTGTGTATATGGTGTGTATAGACGTGAGAGTAGTAAGTGAGTGTGTGTGTGAGAGTGTGTGTGAGCGTGTGTGGGGTGTGTGTGTGGGTGTGTGTGTGTGTGTGTGTGTGTGTGTGTGTGTGTGTAGTCTGTGTGTGTGTATGTGGTTGGGTTGTAAGGTCTGTGGTGTGTGTGTTGTGTATGTAGTCGAAGGGGAGTCTGTGCGTGTGAGTGTGGTGTGTGTGGTGTGTGTGTGTGTGGTGTGTGGAGTTGTGATGCTGTGTGTGTTGTGTGTGTTGGTGTGTGTGTTTGTGTGTGGTGGGTTTGTGTTGTGTGTGTGTGGGTCTGTATGTATGTGTGGTGTGTGTGGGTGTGTGTGAGTGTGTGTGAGGCAGTGAGTGAGTGATGTGAGATTGAGTCGGGTGCGTGAGTGCGTGAGTGGTGCGTCGAGTGAGGCTGAGTTGAGTGTGGTGAAGTTGAGTGATTTGAGTGCGTGAAGTGTCGTGAGTGAGTGAGTGAGTGCGTGCGTGCGTGAGTGACGTGAGTGAGGGGTGGTGAGGTGAGTGACGTGAGTGCGTGGTGAGTGAGTG